AGCACGGCCGCCACCTAACAATGACTAGCACGGCCGCCACCTAACAATGACTAGCACGGCCGCCACCTAACAATGACTAGCACGGCCGCCACCTAACAATGACTAGCACGGCCGCCACCTAACAATGACTAGCACGGCCGCCACCTAACAATGACTAGCACGGCCGCCACCTAACAATGACTAGCACGGCCGCCACCTAACAATGACTAGCACGGCCGCCACCTAACAATGACTAGCACGGCCGCCACCTAACAATGACTAGCACGGCCGCCACCTAACAATGACTAGCACGGCCGCCACCTAACAATGACTAGCACGGCCGCCACCTAACAATGACTAGCACGGCCGCCACCTAACAATGACTAGCACGGCCGCCACCTAACAATGACTAGCACGGCCGCCACCTAACAATGACTAGCACGGCCGCCACCTAACAATGACTAGCACGGCCGCCACCTAACAATGACTAGCACGGCCGCCACCTAACAATGACTAGCACGGCCGCCACCTAACAATGACTAGCACGGCCGCCACCTAACAATGACTAGCACGGCCGCCACCTAACAATGACTAGCACGGCCGCCACCTAACAATGACTAGCACGGCCGCCACCTAACAATGACTAGCACGGCCGCCACCTAACAATGACTAGCACGGCCGCCACCTAACAATGACTAGCACGGCCGCCACCTAACAATGACTAGCACGGCCGCCACCTAACAATGACTAGCACGGCCGCCACCTAACAATGACTAGCACGGCCGCCACCTAACAATGACTAGCACGGCCGCCACCTAACAATGACTAGCACGGCCGCCACCTAACAATGACTAGCACGGCCGCCACCTAACAATGACTAGCACGGCCGCCACCTAACAATGACTAGCACGGCCGCCACCTAACAATGACTAGCACGGCCGCCACCTAACAATGACTAGCACGGCCGCCACCTAACAATGACTAGCACGGCCGCCACCTAACAATGACTAGCACGGCCGCCACCTAACAATGACTAGCACGGCCGCCACCTAACAATGACTAGCACGGCCGCCACCTAACAATGACTAGCACGGCCGCCACCTAACAATGACTAGCACGGCCGCCACCTAACAATGACTAGCACGGCCGCCACCTAACAATGACTAGCACGGCCGCCACCTAACAATGACTAGCACGGCCGCCACCTAACAATGACTAGCACGGCCGCCACCTAACAATGACTAGCACGGCCGCCACCTAACAATGACTAGCACGGCCGCCACCTAACAATGACTAGCACGGCCGCCACCTAACAATGACTAGCACGGCCGCCACCTAACAATGACTAGCACGGCCGCCACCTAACAATGACTAGCACGGCCGCCACCTAACAATGACTAGCACGGCCGCCACCTAACAATGACTAGCACGGCCGCCACCTAACAATGACTAGCACGGCCGCCACCTAACAATGACTAGCACGGCCGCCACCTAACAATGACTAGCACGGCCGCCACCTAACAATGACTAGCACGGCCGCCACCTAACAATGACTAGCACGGCCGCCACCTAACAATGACTAGCACGGCCGCCACCTAACAATGACTAGCACGGCCGCCACCTAACAATGACTAGCACGGCCGCCACCTAACAATGACTAGCACGGCCGCCACCTAACAATGACTAGCACGGCCGCCACCTAACAATGACTAGCACGGCCGCCACCTAACAATGACTAGCACGGCCGCCACCTAACAATGACTAGCACGGCCGCCACCTAACAATGACTAGCACGGCCGCCACCTAACAATGACTAGCACGGCCGCCACCTAACAATGACTAGCACGGCCGCCACCTAACAATGACTAGCACGGCCGCCACCTAACAATGACTAGCACGGCCGCCACCTAACAATGACTAGCACGGCCGCCACCTAACAATGACTAGCACGGCCGCCACCTAACAATGACTAGCACGGCCGCCACCTAACAATGACTAGCACGGCCGCCACCTAACAATGACTAGCACGGCCGCCACCTAACAATGACTAGCACGGCCGCCACCTAACAATGACTAGCACGGCCGCCACCTAACAATGACTAGCACGGCCGCCACCTAACAATGACTAGCACGGCCGCCACCTAACAATGACTAGCACGGCCGCCACCTAACAATGACTAGCACGGCCGCCACCTAACAATGACTAGCACGGCCGCCACCTAACAATGACTAGCACGGCCGCCACCTAACAATGACTAGCACGGCCGCCACCTAACAATGACTAGCACGGCCGCCACCTAACAATGACTAGCACGGCCGCCACCTAACAATGACTAGCACGGCCGCCACCTAACAATGACTAGCACGGCCGCCACCTAACAATGACTAGCACGGCCGCCACCTAACAATGACTAGCACGGCCGCCACCTAACAATGACTAGCACGGCCGCCACCTAACAATGACTAGCACGGCCGCCACCTAACAATGACTAGCACGGCCGCCACCTAACAATGACTAGCACGGCCGCCACCTAACAATGACTAGCACGGCCGCCACCTAACAATGACTAGCACGGCCGCCACCTAACAATGACTAGCACGGCCGCCACCTAACAATGACTAGCACGGCCGCCACCTAACAATGACTGGCACGGCCGCCACCTAACAATGACTGGCACGGCCGCCACCTAACAATGACTGGCACGGCCGCCACCTAACAATGACTGGCACGGCCGCCACCTAACAATGACTGGCACGGCCGCCACCTAACAATGACTGGCACGGCCGCCACCTAACAATGACTGGCACGGCCGCCACCTAACAATGACTGGCACGGCCGCCACCTAACAATGACTGGCACGGCCGCCACCTAACAATGACTGGCACGGCCGCCACCTAACAATGACTAGCACGGCCGCCACCTAACAATGACTAGCACGGCCGCCACCTAACAATGACTAGCACGGCCGCCACCTAACAATGACTGGCACGGCCGCCACCTAACAATGACTGGCACGGCCGCCACCTAACAATGACTGGCACGGCCGCCACCTAACAATGACTAGCACGGCCGCCACCTAACAATGACTGGCACGGCCGCCACCTAACAATGACTGGCACGGCCGCCACCTAACAATGACTGGCACGGCCGCCACCTAACAATGACTGGCACGGCCGCCACCTAACAATGACTGGCACGGCCGCCACCTAACAATGACTGGCACGGCCGCCACCTAACAATGACTGGCACGGCCGCCACCTAACAATGACTAGCACGGCCGCCACCTAACAATGACTGGCACGGCCGCCACCTAACAATGACTGGCACGGCCGCCACCTAACAATGACTGGCACGGCCGCCACCTAACAATGACTAGCACGGCCGCCACCTAACAATGACTAGCACGGCCGCCACCTAACAATGACTAGCACGGCCGCCACCTAACAATGACTAGCACGGCCGCCACCTAACAATGACTAGCACGGCCGCCACCTAACAATGACTAGCACGGCCGCCACCTAACAATGACTAGCACGGCCGCCACCTAACAATGACTAGCACGGCCGCCACCTAACAATGACTAGCACGGCCGCCACCTAACAATGACTAGCACGGCCGCCACCTAACAATGACTAGCACGGCCGCCACCTAACAATGACTAGCACGGCCGCCACCTAACAATGACTAGCACGGCCGCCACCTAACAATGACTAGCACGGCCGCCACCTAACAATGACTAGCACGGCCGCCACCTAACAATGACTAGCACGGCCGCCACCTAACAATGACTAGCACGGCCGCCACCTAACAATGACTAGCACGGCCGCCACCTAACAATGACTAGCACGGCCGCCACCTAACAATGACTAGCACGGCCGCCACCTAACAATGACTAGCACGGCCGCCACCTAACAATGACTAGCACGGCCGCCACCTAACAATGACTAGCACGGCCGCCACCTAACAATGACTAGCACGGCCGCCACCTAACAATGACTAGCACGGCCGCCACCTAACAATGACTAGCACGGCCGCCACCTAACAATGACTAGCACGGCCGCCACCTAACAATGACTAGCACGGCCGCCACCTAACAATGACTAGCACGGCCGCCACCTAACAATGACTAGCACGGCCGCCACCTAACAATGACTAGCACGGCCGCCACCTAACAATGACTAGCACGGCCGCCACCTAACAATGACTAGCACGGCCTTAGGGAGGCCTTAAGTAGGACCGGGAGGCAAGGGCAGAGGCTAAGGGCAGAGGGCAGAGGCTATTCCTCTCTCTCTCTCTCTCTCTCTCGCTCTCGGGGCTACGAAAAATTTCTGGCCGCTCACGCCCCCTCTCTCTCTCTCTCCCTCTCCCTCCCCTCCTCCCCTTCCCCTCCCCCCACAGATCAACGAGTACGAAGCAGGGGTGGGTCTGACGCCTCACATCGACACCCATGCTGCATTCAAGGGCGCCGTGCTTTCGCTCTCCCTGGCCGGCCCTGCCATCATGGAGTTTAGGCGACCCATGGGGCGTCAATCTGTTGCCTTCCCCTTCTTCCCCTTTCAGATCAACGAGTATGCGACTGGAGTGGGCCTAGCGCCGCACATCGACGCGCACACTGCATTCGAGGGCGCCATGCTCTCACTCTCCCTTGCTGGCCCTCCCATCGTGGAGAAACAGCCGTGGAGAAACAGACGACCCCGTGCTCTCACTCTCAACCCGTGGGTCAACCTGACTCATGTTCGACGGGCTGCAGTGGTTGAATGGACGCTTTAAAACCCTTAGCTTCTGAAAAGCCTCCTTGCGTACATGAGTTCAGACGACCCCGTGCTCTCAAACTAGGAAAACGGGTAGAAAGCTGGAATGGAAGGATATAAATTCTGCACATCATATGAGTTCATGAGTTCAGACGACCCCGTGCTCTCACTCTCAACCCGTGGGGAAACAGGCGCGGGGAAAGAAAGTCACTCCCTCACCCTCTCTCCCTCTTCTCCTTCTCCCACGTGTCTTTCCCAGATCAACGAGTATGAAGCAGGAGTGGGCCTGGCGCCTCACATCGACACCCACGCTGCATTTGAGGGTGCTGTTCTCTCGCTCTCCATGGCCTGACCCCTCTCTCCCTCCCATTCTCCTCTTCTCCGTCTCCCTTTCTCCCCTTTCCCTGTTTATCAGATCAAAGAGTACGAGGCAGGGGTGGGCCTGGCTCCGCACATTAACACCCACGCTGCGTTTGAAGGCGCTGTGCTCTCGCTCTCCCTGGCTGGCCCTGCGATTCGTGATCAGGAGTTCAGGAGATCTTTTGGGCTGCAACTCGTGATCCTCCCCTTCCCCCTTCCCCCTTCCCCCTTCTCCCTTCTCCCTTCTCCCTTCCCCCCCAGATTAACGAATATGCGACTGGAGTGGGTTTGGCCCCTCACATAGACACCCATGCCGCGTTTGAAGGCGCTGTGCTCTCGCTTTCCCTGGCTGGCCCTGCAATTATGGAGTTCAGGAGACCACTGGGACCACAACCTGTGGGGAAACAGCCTCTTGGGAAGAAGAAGGTTGTTGGTGGGAGCACTGGGAGTAGTGAACAGAGTGGGAGCAGTGGAAATAATGAGCGGAGTGGGAGCAGTGGAAATAATGAGCGGAGTGGGAGCAGTGGAAATAATGAGCGGAGTGGGAGCAGTGGAAATAATGAGCGGAGTGGGAGCAGTGGAAATAATGAGCGTAGTGGGAGCAGTGGAAATAATGAGCGGAGTGGGAGCAGTGGAAATAATGAGCGGAGTGGGAGCAGTGGAAATAATGAGCGGAGTGGGAGCAGTGGAAATAATGAGCGGAGTGGGAGCAGTGGAAATAATGAGCGGAGTGGGATCAGTGGAAATAATGAGCGGAGTGGGAGCAGTGGAAATAATGAGCGGAGTGGGAGCAGTGGAAATAATGAGCGGAGTGGGATCAGTGGAAATAATGAGCGGAGTGGGATCAGTGGAAATAATGAGCGGAGTGGGAGCAGTGGAAATAATGAGCGGAGTGGGAGCAGTGGAAATAATGAGCGGAGTGGGAGCAGTGGAAATAATGAGCGGAGTGGGAGCAGTGGAAATAATGAGCGGAGTGGGAGCAGTGGAAATAATGAGCGGAGTGGGATCAGTGGAAATAATGAGCGGAGTGGGATCAGTGGAAATAATGAGCGGAGTGGGATCAGTGGGAATAATGAGCCGAGTGGGATCAGTGGGAATAATGAGCCGAGTGGGATCAGTGGGAGCAGTGGGAGCAGTGACAGTGCCTGTCGCAGCAGTGACGGTAACAGCAGAAGCAATGGTGCTGTCATTGGAGAAGCAAAGGAAGAAGAGAAGCATGGTGCGGAGAGGAGAGGAGTGGATGATAGGACAGCTGATGAGAGCAGAGGAGAGGAGAATCGAGAAGAGGAAAAGAGAGGGGAGGAGAAGACAGCAGAGGACAGGAAAGGGGTCGAGAAGAGGACAGAGGACAGGAGAGTGCTTTTCCTACCCCCTCGCTCCCTCCTCGTGCTAACAGGAGAGGCCCGGTACGCGTGGTCTCACTACATTCCCAACCACAAGATCGACCACATCAACGGCCAGGATTTCCCGCGTGCTCCTCGCAGGGTTTCCTACACTTTCAGGAGGGTTCGGTTCGGCCCGTGCGGGTGTGCTTACCCTGAGTTCTGTGATGCTCCCAGAATGGAAAGTGTTGCCAAAAATGGAAAAGGGTTGATTGATAGGGACAGGGCGACGGAAAGTGAGGGATTGCTGGTGAAGGAGAAGGGAAGTGAGGGGATGAGGGAGAGAGTGGAAGGTGGGTGTTGTGGAGGGAGTGTGGTGATGCGCTCACACGAGGGAGTGGCGGAGTGTGGGGAGGAGCGGGAGAAGGGAGAGAAAGCGGAGGAGCAGAGAGTGGCAGGTGGGAGTTGCGGTGGAAGTGTGGTGGCGCGCTTGCATGAGGGAGTGGAGGAATGTGGGGGCGAGGAGGAGGAGAAGGAAAGGGTGTAAGGAAGAGCAGAGAATGGGAGGAGGGAACGGTGGAGAACCCGTGGTGACGCACTCACATGAAGGAGTGGCGGAGTGTGCGGAGGAGGTTGAGAGGGAAGAGAGGGGGGCGGGAAAAGAGAACACCATTCCCCCTCAAACCTCCTCTTATGTTGATCCTTCCAACTCTTCGGACTCACCTCAAACCACCCCAGCAGTAGAGCGGGACTTTGTGCACAAGGTATACGACGCCAATGCTGGCGATGGCAGCAGCAGCAGTGACCTAAACATCCCGGCAGTAGAGCGGGACTTTGTGCACAAGGTGTATGACGCCATAGCGCCGCATTTCAGCGCCACGCGCTTCGCCCGCTGGCCCAAGGTAGCTGAATTTCTCCTCTCCCTCCCCGCGGGCTCGCTTGTACTCGACGCCGGGTGTGGGAATGGGAAATACCTCAATGGTGGCTTACCTATCCCACCTGCTCTCCCTCCTGCTCTCCCTCCTGCTGCCTCTGTCTCTGCGTCTTCCTCTTTGTCAGCATGCGCTTCCTCCTCCGCATTCCCTTCCTCCTCCTCCACTCCTTCCTCCTCCACCTCGTCCCCTCCCTCCTCCTCCCCTTCCTCCGCCGCCCCTCCCCGCCCACCGGCCGTTCTCATTGGCTGCGACATCAGCCCGTCTCTCGTCTCCATTTGCACTCAGCGGGGTTTCGAGGCCTTTGTAGCCGATACCCTCTCGCTCCCCCTCGCTTCCTCGCGATTCGACGCAGCGATTTCCGTGGCGGTTTTGCACCATTTGTCGTCAGAATCCCGGCGGAAGCACGCGCTAAGAGAGATGCTTAGGGTGGTGAGGAGAGGGGGGAGAGTGCTGGTGACTGTGTGGGCTAGGGAGCAGGAGAATCCGGGGTTGCTTGACAAGTGGACGCCGCTGATTGGCCAGATGGCAGATAGGTGGGTGGGGGATGTGGAGGCGGGCAGAGGAGGGGAGGAGAGAGGGAGGGAGAGAGGGGGGGAGAGGGAAGGGAGGACGGGAGGAGGACTGGGAGGGATTGAGGAGGAAAGCGAGACCAGTGACGAGGAAAATGCATCTTCCAGGAGGGGTTTAGAAGGAAAAGTGATTCCAGGAGAAGAGGGAGCAACAGCAGCAGGGGAGGGGGTCAGTGAGCAAAGTGCAGCAGGTGGCAGGGGAGAGAAGAACTTAATTCCAGAGCAAGAGAAGGGAGGGGCAGGAGAAGCAAGGGCAGGGGGAGAATCAGTACAAGGGAAAGTGACAGGAATGGAAGCTTCCCAGGAGTTTCTGGTCCCGTGGCACCTGCCATGCCATCGAGTGGAGATAGGCTCGGCAGCGGCGGCCCAGCACGTAGCCTCGGGGTTTGCTCGGCGCGATGAAGCTAAGGGGTCGGTGGTGTACAACCGATACTATTATGTTTTTACTCGAGGTGAGCTGGAGAGGTATGTGTCACTATTGTATGCTCCTCTTGGTTTTCCTTTACTCCTTGATGTTATGGTAAATATATTGGTGGTTTTTTTCATGTGCTTCCTGGTCCCCTGTGCAGGCTCATCACAGAGATTGGTGGTGCATCAATTGTTGAGAGCTTTTACGACAAGTCCAATTGGTGTGTGATAATGGAGAAGCTCTAGAAGGACCTTGTATGTATCTTACCGGTACCGGGCTGCATATGCATTCATGGACTACTGTTATAGAAGAAGTTTCTCTGCTTTCTTTCTGCTGGACAAACCGTAGAAGTCCTGGTGTCTCTTGTACAAACAGATTTCATATTGCTGGTGGTTGCTGAGGTGAGCATCCGCTCTCAATTCATCTTGCCGATAATGTTTTCAACTTGGCCGAACCAGTGTTTTGTTCAGAATATCACTTTAGCGGGTCGAAGGACAGTCAGTAGGCTGGTCCAGCGATTTATCGGTATGAAGGGATGCAGCGAGGTATCGTTGTTTCATGGTTGAATTGCCAGGTTCTCAGCTTCTTTCTGGCTCCCTTCCCTTCCCATCTGATGGCCAGTGTTAGCTGAATCTTGTGGTCAGCTGTGTTCGTGGAATTCTATTCTGACCAATGAACACCCTGACCTATTCTATCTGACCAATCCCCATCGCTAAACACGCACCCTGCGCTGGCGCCTCTTGGGCACAATAAAGCTGTTCTAACCAATCAGGGAAGCGTCAAGATCTATCCAGTTGCTCCCCTGATCGTCGTTATTGGGATTGGTTGGTGGGAGAAACAAGGCAACTCTGGCTGGAGCTTGAGCAGGATCAACAAAGATAACGAAGCACGTGCGATTATCTCTAGGTTTATGGTCGCAGTCGCAGATGTTCGTCGCCAATTTTTTGTTCCTCGGGGTTAGCAGCACATCCGCGACACCAAAAACCCGTTCTTGGCGAATCGCCCACGTTGGTTTTGTTTCCACATTCCATGCGCCGCTGGCGGCGATCGTCGTGTGCGACAGGTTCAAGAAGCCACCTCAGCAAAACAGCACAGCACAGCAAGCCACAAATCAGTGCGACGCGGTAATCTGACAACTGCGTCGCGGAGAACGACACGCAAAAAGTGCCATGCGCTGATGCGATCTCAAGGGGATCCTCCTTCTCCCTCCCCTCCCCACAGCTCCCGCTCTCCCTGCGACACATCCGCCCTGTTGGACAATGAGGGGATTTTCCCCGCAAGAGGGGGAAGAGCGCAACTTTGATCGCCGCCAGCCAGCTGAACTCCCCATGAAAGTCAAGAAAGGGGCACGCGCAGGGCGCGCAACCTCCAGCGCAGCTTGCTCCCTGTGCGCGGCCGTGCGTTGGAACAAGGAGCAGCGCCGCAGGGAATTCGGTTGGTGCAGCTCTCAGTCGTTCGGGGCCCCGCCAGGGCTCTTCCCCGCATGTTACGCGTTTCGGCAGGCCCTTTCTAGTCGCGCAACTGGTCGTCTTAGGCTCCGTTGGCTTCGTCTGCCTCGCATGTACCTCCAAATGGCTGTTGTAGCCTTGCTCCGCTCAACCTTCTTCGTTGGCCCATCTTTCCGTTCAGTTCCCAAAGCCCCTCTAGAGATTTCATGCTCTTGTTGACTCGCCTTCGTCACATCTGGGCCTGGCCAGAAATTATTGTTGATAGCTACTGGTCCAAAAGGCCGCTGTTCAGTCTATAGAGTTTCTGGTCCGACCTTGGTAGCTGACTTCTTAGGCCTAACTTATTTTGAGAGCTAACTTAGGACACGAAGCATGGATCAACTAGCAGTCGTACTAGATTCTACGTCTAGCAGGCGTAAGTTACTAGCCAGGGATCCATCCCCTACGAGAGTTTTAGTAAACCGCGAATTATCTGACCGACTAACTCGAATCCACCTGTCGCCATCATGGCCGTTGGTATGGAAGGCGCAGATGACGGATTCCTTATCCACGTGGCAAATATGGGAGCTTCCAGCTCAACGAGATAAGCTTTTATCCTTTCAGGCTGGGATAGACGATATAAGGCTAACAGCGTCTGATGGCGGTTGGGCTCCCTTCCTGCTCGCTCTCTCCGCGGTGCAACCGGGGTCGAGATCCTTCTGCGAAGCTGCCTCGACACAACTTAACAGCTTCCTATTATGGGATGACTGGTTGAAACGGCATGGCTCGGAAGACGAATTTTCTCAGTTGACGGTGTTTCTCGGGGAGGTTGCTACTGGGGGGAAGGGGTGCATGGGAGGATGCAGAACAAAGAGAAGACATCTAAGCTCGTTTCCTCGTCGGCTTGACAGCAAGTATCCGTTGAAGTTGGAAGCTTTCGTCGGATCGCTATCCGTTTTGCAATCCAGCCAGGGTTCCGATAGTCTAGACCTACCAAACAGCGACTCCGTGTCCTGGTTGAGGCGATATCTGAGCTGCTGGTCAGCATATAGCACGGTAAGCACTATTATAGTCAGTACCCTTCACCTGAAAATGAAATACTTCAGATTGAAAGTTCACTCCCATTCTACACCTCTGGTATCTTTGACAATGTCGCTGATGTCCTAATGTCGTCTCGTGACCCTTGGTGCTTCATTTTCAGGCTGGGCTGAAGTCCCACTCCGCGTTACGGCAGTCCCTAGAAGCGGGACAAATACCAGCTCTCCACGAGTACCTCTTTTACCGAGCGACGTCAAACGTCGCCTGGCCAGCAATGCTCCTCGCGGCGACTCAGCACCACCTTCCCCCTGTCTCCGATTCCTCTTTCCAAGCCGTCCTCCCTCTCATCTTCACTGCAGCCGCTCTCACAGCTCTTTCCGCCGATTCCCTCCTCGTGACACGTGGCAAGCTCGCCAAGTCAGCGTCCTTGTCCGCTGCCCAGCTGTTCGACGGGGAGACGAATCTTCTCCTCCAGAACTCCCTTGCCGTCGCGTTTGCTGCGGTCGCCAGTCGGATCGAGCTCGAGGCAGAGGAATTGACCGAGGTTGACGAACGCGCGGCGTTGCTGGGGTTCGTGCGCGTCGCGAAGAGCGCCGTTCACGGCGTCATGGCGTGGTACGGCTGCGCGTGGCGATTCCGAGCGCAGCCAGCTACAAAGACGGCGACGGCTGACGCTGACACTGGTTCGGATGATAAAGAGGATAAGATAACCGTGGAGGGATGCGGTGTGGAGTTAATCAACGACGTGCCTCAATGGCTTATGGATGAGATCGAGACTGCTGCTGCCGACTTCGCTGCGTTGCATTGATGGGGAGTGTGGGGGAGGGTCTTGTTTGACAGCTGAGGTTGGTAATTGAAATGGGAGGACGGGGAGGGAGGGAACTTCGTTTGACAGCGTCAGCGTCAATGCTGAAACGCCTGTTCTTTGGTTCTGACGTTGGACTGGAGGCACTGCTGATGTCCGTGATGCTCTGGTGCTTCTGGTGCTTCTGGTGCTTCTGATGGTGAAGGTCTTGTGATGGTTACCAGCTGCAACAGTACCATACGGCCAGTGATCTGCACTGGAATCTGCTATCTGTTGTCCTGCCTGCCACCTCTTGTATCTACACCCCTTCTCAGCTGCATATCTAGGTCCTTGTCATAACTGTGTGTTGGCGATGATGCTTAACCTTAGGCTAGACGAGAGCAAAGCTGGAGTAAGAACGGTTTTGGGTCCATACTGGGTGGTATCTGGTCATCTGGTGATTGGTGCCTGCATGCAAATGGCATGAGAGGCACAATCCTCCTGTTCATGTGATAGGTCCTGTACCCTGTACAGAGCTACAGAACAGTGTCAGTGGGCCTCTTCCCCTTTTGTAGGGGCTGGAGGCGAGTTGCTGGTGGGAGTCATAGCTGCAGCCTAAGCAGCCTGATGTTGCATCAACTCCTGTTTAGCATAAGCTATACCTGAGCCAGATTTCATTACCATTACCTGAGATGTATGGTTCGGAGTTAGTATGTTCTAAATATTGCTGTCCTTCGTGCCACCACGCTTTAAAGGAAGGGCAAGCAACAAACTCAAAAGCGAGGTTGGGGATTCAGTGACGCAAAACCAGCCTTTTCGTCTCGGTCTAATGCGGTAGATATGCTACTTCCCGGCGCCGCTGTCCTGTCTGCAACTCGATCTGACAACCACCCTCTGACACCCCTCCCCCTCCTCTCCCCACCACACCAGCACCACTTGCCGTTGATCCGATGCGCATCACATGCGTCGAATTTGGCCCAGACACTCTGGTCTGGAGGAATCTAGATTTGTGGAAGCAGATTATGCAGCTTTTGTTTACTCGCATCATTCCTGGGTTACGATTCTGGCTCGATCACGCACTATATGTCGCCGTGCGTTTTCTACTAGTTCGCGAATAGGTGACTTTTGATTCCACTTCAACGTCATCGTACGTGTTATAGGTTATCAAGATGAAATTCTGGATGCGGGGAATCGTCTCTAGTTGGAACGATCGAGCGTTCAGGGCTTTGACGAATGTGCTGTACCCTCCGAATTTCCTCCTGATGGGCATTTTCTGGACCTGGTATGTCCTCCTGTCGCACATCCGCGTAGCGTTTCTGCGAAATAATAAATATAGTTGGCGAAACCCGTTACCAGGAAGTAGATCAGAGGCGTCGCGAGCAGCGGAAGGAGCAGTCGGAGGGGAGGATAAGGAGCATGGAGATGACGAAGGAGAATCTGGAGAAAGAGACGGAAAGAGGCGAGGAGAGAGAAGAGAAGGAGGAGGAGGTGAAGGAGAAGGAAGAGGAGGAGGTGTAAAGGGCGGAGCGTTGAGAGCAACATGTATTGTGACTGGGGTATGTTATTTGAGTCGCCTCTCCCTCTGAGAGAAACATGGCTTGCGATGCAATGTAGTGTGGTGTGGTGTGGGGTGGTGCGGTGTGGTGTAGTGTGATGTGGTATGGTGTGTGTGGTGTGGTGTGGTGTGGTGTGGTGTGGTGTGGTGTGGTGTGGTGTGGTGTGGTGTGATGTGATGTGATAGTCTGGTCCGTTGGAGATGGTGTCTGTGATTCTTTTCCTGGTATTGCACTTTGTGTTACGGTTGTCCTTTTCTGACACGAAAATTGTGCAATTTGAGATTGCGCAACAATCCAACTTTTTCCAGCCAATTTTTATTGACCGTTGGGTTCATTGAAGGTTGCTTGTAACGAGTTCTTATATTGAATGATTGATTTGACAGGCCACGTCAGGGTTGGGGAAGGAGGCAGCAACGGCGCTGGCATCTCTAGGCACCTTCCACGTGGTGATGGGTGAGATGTGGATGATGGGTGAGATGTGGATGATGGGTGAGATGTGATGATGATGGGTGAGATGTGGATGATGGGTGAGATGTGGATGATGATGGGTGAGATGTGGATGATGGGTGGGATGTGATGATGATGGGTGAGATGTGATGATGATGGGTGAGATGTGGATGATGGGTGAGATGTGGATGATGGGGTGAGATGTGGATGATGGGTGACATGTGGATGATGGGTGACATGTGGATGATGGGTGAGATGTGGACGATGGGCGAGATGTGGATGATGGGTGAGATGTGGATGATGGGTGAGGCGCAGATGTTTAGGCATGGCGCGATAGGTGAGATGAATTACAACATGCATGTTTGCGAAAGCGGGTTCTTCCCAGTCGATTTTTTCATATCCAAGTTTCAAGCCCCCTTCTCTACACTGCCGCCATAAAAGCACTCAATTGTCACGGGTATTTCCCAAAAGTTCTCAACCGTCACCATATTTTTCACCCGTAACGATTTTTCTTGAAACTTGACGGTCACCACTGCTGGTTCTCCCAACCCCTGTGGTGCTGCAGGTTGCCGCTCTGTCAAGCGTGGTTACCAGGTGAGATGCGTGGTTACCAGGTGAGATGCGTGGTTACCAGGTAAGATTGGTTGGTGGCTACACCAAAATTTGCACGAGTCTTTATTCATGCAGGCAGTTTTGTGACACGAGCAATGATTATCGTGCCATGACTTTGATGCTTTCCCATGTGGCCTCCATAACTACCCTGCGAACCTATGCCCTGTCAGCCTTAACCCCCAAGCTTCAAGGGTTGACCCAATACCCTGAACACTAGGTGCCTCCATATTCAGTCTTCTTAGCTATCTTGGCAACCCATGCCATGCCAACTTCAATCACCAAGCTTTTAGGCGTAGACCCAATATCTGAAAACCACCAAACGAGACTCTGAACCCCCATGCCTTCCAATCAATGCTGCCCGGCATTTCCCCACGTGCTCATTTTTGAAGGCAGCGGCTGACATCATTCGGCAGCATCCGCACGCGTCGATAGAAGTCCTGCCGCTCGATCTCTCCTGGCCGGCATCCGTTGTTCGTTTCTGCCACCTCATGCGGTCGAGACTAGGGCTGGATGGGGTGGTGATCGATGCAGAGAGGGGTATTGGGAAGGTTGGAGAAAAGGTGGAGAATTTTCCTAAAATTTTTGGAAGCAGCTCTGATGAAGAAGGGGGGTTGAGAAAGGTGGGGGAGAATGTGGGGAAACAGCAGCAGATTTTGAGACAGGGGAATGTGGAGGAGGAGAAGGAGGGGAGGGAGAAAGAGGAAGATGCAGCACAAAAGGAAGAGGAGGAAGAGGAGGGGTTTCTCTGGAAGCATCTGCAACAGCAACAGCAGCAGCGGCAGGCGGGTGTAGAGCAAGGCCCCTCCCCCATGCCTCCATTATGCCTCCTAGTCAACAATGCTGGCGTCTTCGCTTCCACCGCCTCCCATCGCTCTGCACCTGCTGGTCTACGTGTTGATCGGTACAATCCCAGGGCTCTCTCCGTTGTGCCTCTCTCCTTCCACCCTTGCCCATCAATGACTGCAGCACGAGAACCACCAACTAGTTTCTCCCTGCTCTGCTCTGAGTCGGCTCAAAACATGCTCTTCTCACGGCACCTGCTGCCTGCCACTCATTGTGAATCCTCTGTGTCGCCCCCTCATTGGTCATTGATCAGCATGCTAGCTACCAACTATCTCGGCCCAGTCCTGCTCACACTCCACCTGCTGCCCCTCATGGGGAGAAGAGCACCCTCCTTACAAGCACATGGGGCATGTGGGGAGGCGGAGGAGAGACTAAAGTGCCGCATAGTCAATGTGACTTCCTTCACACACCGATCAGGTGAGCCAGATTAGTTTAGTTTAGTTTAATTTAGTTTCTTTATTATTTTCTCTTTTCGGTTCAAAACAAGTTCCATGAGATTGCATTTGCTTTGAAATATTGCCAGCAGACAAATCCCAAAACACCCTGGTGTTGCCAACAATGCTTCACACGGTTGATTGTAGAGTAATACCTCTTTTAATGTTTGTTCTCTCAACCTCTCTCTCTCCCTCTCTCTAGATGGGTTACCCTGTCAAATTCTCTGCCACCCTTCCTCTTCACCCCTCCCTTCCTTACTCCTCCAATACCAGTGCGCCAGCTGTACGTGTCTGACGTGGCATCTCTAGCAGCGGGCGCTGCTGCTCCTGCCAGCTCACCCCCGCCTCTGTTCTACCCTGCAGCCAGCATCTACCAGGCCTCTAAATGTATGTGTGGGCGTGATATGGTGTGTGCATGGTGCATGCATACATCCATGATTGCTCGTATGCTCCTGCCAGCTCACCCCCCCATCTGTTCTACCCTGCAGCCAGCATCTACCAGGCCTCCAAGCGTATGTATGGTTTTATTGAAAGGTCGCAACCCCAAGATAACGTGTGTATGGACGTATGTGTGCGTTGCGTATGTATGATTGCATGTTCCATCCACCTCAACCCCTTCTCTGTTCTACCCTGCAGCCAGCATCTAAACAGGCCTCCAAGCGTATGTATCTATGTGTGCGTTGTAGGCGTGTGTGTGCATGTGAGTGGTACAATGCATCATGTTCGCGTGCATGGCCCTGCCAGCTCACCCCTACAGCCACCAACTACCAGGCCTCTAAACGTGTGTATGGACGTCTGTTGTAGGCGTTTATGAAAGTGTGTGTTCGCGTTTATGTATGGTGCATGTATGCTTGCGTGCTCCTGCCACCCAACCCTTGCCTCTGTTCTACCCTGCAGCCAGCATCTACCAGGCCTCCAAACGTATGTATTTCTTTCCCCCCTTTTCTCTGCTGCCTGCCTGCCTGCCTGCAGTGTGCCTGCTCCTCTTCTCGCTGCACCTCCAGCGTCTCCTCCAATCAGACCCCTCCACGTGTCACATCTCTGTCGTGTAAGGCCCTCCCTCCTTTTTGGTCTTGCCTCAACTGCCCTTGCCTCAACTGCCCTTGCCTCTCCACTGCCCTGCCCTTGCCTCCACCGCCCTTGCCTCAACTGCTCTCTTTTAATTTCCATGTGTACAATCTGCTTCTTTTCTCAACTACCCTGCTTTCCTCATTGCCACTCCCCCCAGACCGATAGACTCGGCATGGTGCGCACAGCAGTACTGAGGGAACTCCCTGCCTTCCTCGCAGCCACAGTCAACACCATCTTCTCTCTCCTCCCTGCTCCCCATTAACCCCCATTTTACAATCACCCCCACTGGCTACCCCTCTCTCAGCCCAATAGACCTCGGCATGGTGCGCACTGCTCTTCTGAGAGAACTACCTGCCTTCCTCGCAGCCACAGTCAACATAATTTCTCCCTTCTCGGCCTCTGTTTGCTCCCTTCCCATTGTTGCCACCCCTTCCAGCCCCATAGGCCCCGGCATGGTGCGCACTGCTGTGTTGAGGGAGCTCCCCTCCTTCCTCGCAGCCACAGTCAATACCATCTTCTCCCTCCTCGGCCTTTCTGTCCCCTGTGCTGTCTCCCCCTCTGCCTGCCCCTTCCCTCCAGCCCAATAGACCCCGGCATGGTGCGCACTGCAGTACTAAGGGAGCTGCCCTCCTTCCTAGCAGCCACAGTCAACAACATCTTCTCCCTCCTCGGCCTCTGTTTGCTCCCCCGCGCCCTCGTCCCTCTCTTCCTCCGCGCCTGCACTGCCCCTCCGGTAAGCTCTTCTATATAAACATTCTCTCGCTCCCTCGCGCCCTCGTCCCTCTCTTCCTCTACGCATCCACTGCCCCCCAGGTTAGCGCAAAAATTTCGCCTTGCTTTTCCCCTCCTCGCTTTTCCAACCCTCCTCCCGTCCTTTCTCCTTCCCCCCCTGTCCGCCCCCTTCGCCCTTCCTCCCCACCTTGCTGACCCCGCACCCCCCGTTTCCTCCTCCGTCTGGTTTTTACCTCCACTTACTCCCCGACCTCTTCCCAGTTCCTGTTTGACCCATGATATACCATCATCATCTCTATCTTCCTTTCCTTCCCTCCCTCCCCTTTCCTTCCTTCCCTCCCCCTTCCTTCCTTCTCTTCCTTCCCCTTCCCTTAGCTTTCATTTCCTTTTCCATCTCTTTGCATCCCTTCCCCTTCTCGTTCAGGAGAATGTAGCAGGGAAGTTCCTGTCTGGAACCCACACAACTCCACTTTTGCCCTCCCCACTGGCTCATGACACGTGTCTCTCCAACACCCTTCAACAAACCACAGCAGTCCTTCTAACCCAACCCAACACTTTTGTTTCGCCTCCCCCTTGATCTTCCAGGAGCAAGTAGCAGGGAAGTACCTGTTTGGAACCCAAGCAACCCCGCTTTTGCCCTCCCGACTTGCTCGTGACACATCTCTCTCCAACACGCTCTGGCGAACCACTCAAGACCTTCTCACCCAATGGGTTTCCAGATAAATTTGAGGAGTTCTTGGACGAAGTGGTGTCTTCAATTCAAATAATGGACATCTCATTGTCCTTATGAGATACAATCACATTCTTTGCCCATATTTTTGTCTAATTTGGGATGCCACTGCCACGTTTGTTCTTATCCTCCCTAACTGCTGCGGCTGAATTCGCGGTCACCTCGGGATTTCCCCGAGCGCTCTCCTCTTCTCCCCCTTCTTCCTTCCGAGTCTCCGCGTTTTCCGCTCTTCCAGCGCCGCTGACGGCGCCAGGTATAGTCTGACAGGGATTAGCAAGGAAGGTGCGAGGACAAGAGGACAGATTATAGATTTATGAAGGACTCGGGGAAGTGAGATACCGTACTACAATAGAAGCAACACTAGAATTCTGGGTTGCGTAAACACCACTCCCCCTTCTCGTGCACGGGCAAAACTGGCATATTGTTACTGGCTGTCTCTCCATTCTGTGATTTGGCGTAATACTAATGAAGAATCCAAGAACACCTGACGGCACCGCGGTAGTTACAAAGACCTGACGGTCAATGCTGTCTTTACCAGGTCTGGATTGTATATGTTGTGGACGACAGATGCTCCAGCTAGTAGCGACGCAATGGCGACGGCGTACGATCGGATCATGACGGTTTGCGAGGCGGCTAGAGATTGGGAAATGGAATGGCTACCTCGCGATCGAGAGTGGCTGGTCAAGACCCTTTTGCTCTTTAACTCTCTTGCTTTAGAAACATAAGTGAATCGTCACGCGATCATGTTCGGCTAACGTTTTCTCGCTCTATCCTCCCTGCGTTTGATTAGCCGCAAGCTACGCCGTGCGCTACGGTGGATGGATTGGTGACGACGAGAGCATGGGATGGGGGCAGAAACGCCACTCTCTTCCATTCTCAAATCCTCGACACCCGACGCTCACTACAAACAATCCTCTTTAAGAGGGTAATAATTCATTCCACAACAAGAAGGCTAAAGGCAAACTACTAAGGAAATATGGTGCTCCAAGACATTCTTCTGGATTTATGTTTAAAAAAACGGGTAGCTTATATACATCCGAGGATCTGAGAGTGAATACACAAACGCATAAAAACACACAGAACCTCGAAGTCGAATCTGACAGTTCAAAGCCTATCATTTATGTACCATACACATGTAATCCTCACTTCACCACCATATGAAGTCAGCGATTTGCCCCTTCCCTCGCACATCAACCATTATATACAGCATCCATCCTAATTATTCACAGCCGCCCAACCATTCACCTACCGCCTTGTGTTTCCTCTTTTTTCCATCCACCTCATCTGCTCAAGACTCAACAGAATGTGGCACAAACTGCGCTTGGGCAGTTTGAAACCACCAGCTCACGGGGTTTATACACACCCTGAGTGAGACACCTAATCCTTTCCCCTTAGTCAGAGAGGGAGCTTTCAGGGAGGGAGAGAGGAACAGCAGCAGGAGCAGGCAGCTGGGAAGGAAGACACACTGCTATTGTTACACGCTCCTTAGTCCGGGAGGGAGAGCGTGGGAGCAGCAGGAGCAGGTAGCTTGAGGAAGGGCAGACACAGCCCCATCTCGCACACGTCAGGGCGAGGCAGTCGGATCACCACAGGCTCCCCATCCTCCCCCACGTCCACCAATGCCGTGTCGCCAGCTGTGAACGCGCCCTCCCTGACCCCGCTGACGTCACCTAGGGGTGCGCTGACGTCATCTGCTGCAGCGTCAGCTGCGATCGCAGGAAGCAGCACAGAAGGAACGGACGGCAGGGATTCTGACAGGTCACTGCTGATGTGGCTGCCGCTGCTGCTGACGTGGCGGTGGCGGCGGCTGCTGCTCCCCTCCGCTGCCAGCACAGCCTCGCTGATCGGATCGTCGACCAATCGCGTGACGGCACGTCGCAGCGGGCGGGCCCCATACGCCCTGTCATACCCCTCCTCACAGATTCGTTCCATCAGTGCCTCGGAAACTTCCAGGTTGATTCCTTTCAGTGCCAAACGGTCAGCCGATTCCTTGACCATCATATTGGCAATCACTCGGATCTGGACAAGTGGACAATTGGGTTGGGGGACAAGTGGAGGGACAAGGAAGCATATGTGAACAGGGAAGAGGGGTCTCTGCTCTCGCTTGTCTTCTTCTGACATTTCTGGTCAAATCTCCTCTCGTGGTCACCTTCTACCTCTCAAGCGCCCTAAACACCACCACCTCATCAATGCAGTTCATCAGCTCCGGCCCGAAATGCGCCTTCAGCCCCCCTTCTCCCCACTCTCACTCTCACATGCTCTCCCATCAGCTCATGTCATTCCACGACCATGCCATCTTGCTTCTCACCTCTTTCAATGCGGTTCAACTGCTCCACCATCACCTCTTTCGTCGCTGCATACTGCCCCGCATCTGCCTTCTGACACATACACACATGTACATGCGCACATGCCCACATATACACACACACATGCCCTTTCCTTCTCTCACTTATCACCTGCTCTCTCTCCAGTGCTCGGAACACCACCACCTCATCGATCCGGTTCATCAGCTCAGGCCGAAAGTGCGCCCTCAGTTCTCCCATCACCACCTCTCTTAGTAGAGGACAAGGGCCCTAAGTAGCAGGAGGGTATGCTCTCACCTGTTCCCTCTCCAGTGCTCGGAACACCACCACTTCATCGATCCGCTTCATCAGCTCTGGCCGAAAGTGTGCCTTCAACTCCTCTATCACCACCTCCCTCATCGCCGCATACCGACCCACATCTGCCTTCTGAAACATACACACATATACATGCGCACACGCACACATGCTCTTTCCTTCCCTCGCTTCTCACCTGCTCTCTCTCCAGAGCTCGGAACACCACCACCTCATCAATCCTGTTCATCAACTCCGGCCGAAAATGCGCCTTCAACTCATCCATCATCACCTCCCTCCTCGCCGCATACCGCGCCGTTTTCGCTGAGACATACACACATGCACCTGCTCTCATCTCTCGTACCCACCTGTTCTCGCCCCATTTTCTCACCTGTTCCCTTTCAAGTGCTCCCATGCTCACCTGTTCCCTCTCCAGCGCTCGGAACACCACCACCTCATCAATCCGGTTCATCAGCTCTGGCCGAAAGTGCGCCTTCAACTCATCCATCACCACCTCCCTCATCGCCGCGTACCGCCCCGCATCTGCCCGTCCCAACACTCCCCCGTCCCTTCTCCCATTCCCAGCCCCATCGGCAGCTGCATATTCTCCCGGTGAGAGAAAGCCGATGCGGTGGGAGCCGCCTCTGGCAATGGCCTGTGAGCCCACGTTGGAGGTCAGGACTATCAGGGCGCTCTTAAAGGACACGTGGCGGCCCTGGATTGGTCGATGGAAAGGGGGCAGGGAAGGGAGTAAAGAAAGAGAGTGAATGTTGGTGGGAACGCCTGTGTGGTGGGTGGGCGCCCCCCTTCTGCAATGAATGGCCTGAGAACCCACGTTGGACGTCAGGACTCTGAGGGCGTCCTTGAATGACACGTGGCACACCTAGATTGGTTAACAGGGATGGCAGCGGGGAAGGGGAGGTGAGGGGAGTGAGGGCGCGGGAGGAGAGGGGAAAGTGGGGAGGGGGAGAAGGGGAGGGGGGGGGGGGGAGGGGGAGAAAGGGAGGGGGAAGGGGGGGAGGGGGAGAAAGGGGGGGGGAAGGGGAGGGGTAGAAAGGGGGGGGAAGGGGGGGTTAGAAGGCTGACGACATTAACAAGTCCTATAGTTCTGGGTGAGCTAGCAAATTAAGAAAAACTAAGGAGCTTAGGAATATTTGCAGTCCCTTCACAATGACAAGCTTACCTGTGAGTCGGTAAGCCGCCCGTCCTCGAATATCTGCAGCAGGAGATTTAAGACGTCCCAATGTGGTTTAAGTAAAGACACCACACAAACCCAAACACCCACCTACCTGCGAGTCAGTGAGCCGCCCATCCTCGAATATCTGCAGCAGGAGATTAAAGACGTCCCAATGTGGTTTAAGTAAAGACACCACACAAACCCAAACACCCACCTACCTGCGAGTCAGTGAGCCGCCCATCCTCGAATATCTGCAGCAGGAGATTAAAGACGTCCCAATGTGGTTTAAGTAAAGACACCACACAAACCCAAACACCCACCTACCTGCGAGTCAGTGAGCCGCCCATCCTCGAATATCTGCAGCAGGAGATTAAAGACGTCCCAATGTGGTTTAAGTAAAGACACCACACAAACCCAAACACCCACCTACCTGCGAGTCAGTGAGCCGCCCATCCTCGAATATCTGCAGCAGGAGATTAAAGACGTCCCAATGTGGTTTAAGTAAAGACACCACACAAACCCAAACACCCACCTACCTGCGAGTCAGTGAGCCGCCCATCCTCGAATATCTGCAGCAGGAGATTAAAGACGTCCCAATGTGGTTTAAGTAAAGACACCACACAAACCCAAACACCCACCTACCTGCGAGTCAGTGAGCCGCCCATCCTCGAATATCTGCAGCAGGAGATTAAAGACGTCCCAATGTGGTTTAAGTAAAGACACCACACAAACCCAAACACCCACCTACCTGCGAGTCAGTGAGCCGCCCATCCTCGAATATCTGCAGCAGGAGATTAAAGACGTCCCAATGTGGTTTAAGTAAAGACACCACACAAACCCAAACACCCACCTACCTGCGAGTCAGTGAGCCGCCCATCCTCGAATATCTGCAGCAGGAGATTAAAGACGTCCGGGTGCGCCTTCTCGATCTCTTCCAGAACACAACACCACACACACCCACCACACACCCACCCACTAGACACCACACACACCCACCACACACCCACCCACTAGACACCACACACACCCACCACACACCCACCCACTAGACACCACACACACCCACCACACACCCACCCACTAGACACCACACACACCCACCACACACCCACCCACTAGACACCACACACACCCACCACACACCCACCCACTAGACACCACACACACCCACCACACACCCACCCACTAGACACCACACACACCCACCACACACCCACCCACTAGACACCACACACACCCACCACACACCCACCCACTAGACACCACACACACCCACCACACACCCACCCACTAGACACCACACACACCCACCACACACCCACCCACTAGACACCACACACACCCACCACACACCCACCCACTAGACACCACACACACCCACCACACACCCACCCACTAGACACCACACACACACACCTGTGAGTCTGTCAGCCGCCCGTCTTCAAATATCTGCAGCAGGAGATTAAAGACGTCCGGGTGGGCCTTCTCGATCTCGTCCAGGAGAATAAGACAAAACGGCCGCCTGCGCACGGCCTCCGTGAGCTTGCCGCCCTCGCCGTACCCCACGTAGCCGGGCGGCGCACCAATCAGCTTGCTGACAGCATGGCGCTCCATGTACTCGCTCATGTCGAGACGAATCATGGAATCTTCCTGGGAAGGATAGGCATGTAATACAGGAAGGGGCAAGAGGAGCAGTTGAGCACGTATGCATGTGATCACTTGCTGGCAGCGTGGCGCTCCATGTACTCTGACATGTCTAGGCGGATCATAGAGTCCTCCTGAGTGGGATGGGGGATGGAACATGAGAGAGCACAAGAGCAGGGCGATTGAGCCAATATATCAAGTGAGCTTGCTGGCAGCGTGGCGCTCCATGTACTCGCTCATGTCTAGACGAATCAAGAAATCTTCCTGGATGGCAATGCAAAATGGCCGAGAACAAGGAGAAGTTCCGCACACACATCCACACTCCACCTTATCGCATCGCACCGCGCCCCACTGCACCCAACCGCTACTCACCAAGCCATAGTAATGCGCCGCCAGTGCCTTGCACAACTCAGTCTTGCCCACCCCAGTGGGTCCCGAGAACAGCAGAGCAGCCACCGGCCTCCCTTCCCCCTTCAACCCCACCCTCGCTCTCTGCACCGCGCGTGCTATCACCCTTACAGCCGCCCCCTGGCCCACCACGCGCGTCTCTAGCGCCTCTTCTAGGCCTGCGAGGTGCTGCTGGTCGGAGAGCGAGAGCTGCTGCAGGGGAATGCCGGTCCAGTGGGCGGCCACCACTGCTATGTGCTCTGCTGTGATCTCCGTGGGACTGGACATGATAGCAGCGCAGGGCAAGAGCAGGAAGGAGGGAGGGGAATAAGAAGGGTGGCAGGGAGGGGATGAAAGGGGGATGCGCTGGCCAGTGGGCGACTGTGATCTCTGTGGGACTGGTGGGAATACCAGCGCAGGGAAATAGTAGCAGAAGGAAAGGAAGATTGTCAGTTGGTGCAGCTGTTGTGTGTGACAGTAAGACGATAGGAGAATGGTAAAACCCATCCTCCCTCCTTGTCACTGCCACTGATGCCTCTGTTGGACCGACCAGCAGCAGCAGTGGCTGCAGCAGCCGTGGTGGTGTTAACGTGGGTGTGGTTGTTTGTGAGAGTCACACGATGGTGTGATGTGAGCGTTGAGTAATCAGCTTACCCTCCTCCTTGTCACTGCCAGTGATGCCACTCTTGGATCGACCAGCAGCAGTAGCAATGACATCGGCAGCGGAGGTGGTTGTAATGTGAGTGTTGAGTGTGTGAGTCAAATAACGCAGACAATCACCTTACCTGTCCTTTTTGTCACTGCCAGTGACGCCACTCTTGGACCAACTCGATCAGCAGTAGTGTGGGTGTGAGAGTGAGTGTGAATAAGACAATGGAGTAGGGAAGCTCACCTGTCGTCCTTGTCACTGCCAGTGATGCCACTCTTGGCTCGACCAGCAGCAACAGCGGCGTCAGCAGCAGTGGTGGTGTTGGCATGGGAGTGATTGCTTGTGAGCGTCAGTCGGTGGCGTCAGTATGAGTGTGAGTGTGTGTGATGGTAAGACAATAGATCCAAGGTGAAGCTTACCTGTCGTCCTTGTCACTGCCAGTGATGCCACTCTTGGACCGACCAGCAGCAACAGCGGCATCAGCAGCCGTGGTGGTGTCGTGGTAGGTGTCTTGAGAGAGGAAGGAGGTGAGCGATGTAAAGGGGTTCTGGCGAGCATGTGCCTGCAAGGGGGGAGAGAATCGAAGGAGCAGAGAGACAGAGGAGGAAGGAGAATGAGACGCAGCAGAGGCAGCAGCAGCATCAGCAGCAGTGGTGGTGTCGTGGTAGGTGTCTTGAGAAAGGAAGGAGGTGAGCGAGGTGAAGGGGTTCTGGCGAGCATGTGCCTGCAAAAAAAGAACTTCAAAGTGTTGGGAAAAGAGAGGGGGAATGAGGAGCAGCAGCAGCAGCAGCAGCAGCGGTGGCGGTGGTGGTTTCCATGTGGTGAGATGGAAATGGGAGAGGAAGGAGAAGGTGAGGGAAGTGAAGGACTCATGGCGAGCATCTGCCTGGAAATGGATGGAAGTGGAAGGTCCCCCCTATGTTCCTTCCTCCTGCTGCCTCTCTCCAGGTCACTTGCCTTGGTCCCCACCAACCCACTCTCACCGCATCAAACACATCCTTAACGTAATGGACTCATCTGCAACACATCAAACCCATTCTCACCGCTTTATTGAGCAGCCTGCGTCATGCGAATCTCCCGCCACTACTCCCCGGCCCCCTTCTCAAGCACCCCACTCGCCCTCCTCCTCCTCCTCCCCCTGCTGCCCTCCACCATAGCACTTGAAGCAGCTCCACTGAAACCACTCCATACTCACCGCATTGAGCCGGTTCCCACCCCATCAAACCCACTCTCACCACATCAAAACCCATGCTCACCGCTTCGTGTGCAGCTTGCGCCATGCGAATCTCCCGCCAGTACTCCTCCGCCCCCCTCTCCAGCACCCCACTGGCCCGCCTCCTCCTCCCCTTACTGCCCTCCACCCTGCTCCTACTGGCTGCCTCGTCGATCAAATCAATGGCCTTATCAGGGAGACACCGGTCGGGGATGTAGCGTGCAGAGAGGGTCACTGCTGCTGCCAGGGCATCGTCAGAGATGGTGCACTTGTGGTGTGCCTCGTACAGGTGGCGCAGGCCGTGTAGTATGGCTAGGGCGGCTTCCTGCGAGAAGGAAAGGGGATGAAGATGGGGATGAAGCGTGCGGAGAGGGTCACTGCTGCTGCCAGGGCATCGTCAGAGATGGTGCACTTGTGGTGTGCCTCGTATAGATGCCTCAGGCGTGTAGTATGGTCAATGCGGCTTCCTGGGAGGAGTGAGGGGGGAGGGAGGGAGGGAAAGGAGGCACAAGGGGTGGTACTGTGAGTCGCCGCCTCCTCCTCCCCTTACTGCCCTCCACCCTGCTCCTACTGGCCGCCTCGTCTATCAGGTCAATGGCCTTATCGGGGAGACAGCGATCGGGGATGTAGCGAGAGGAAAGGGTCACGGCTGCTGCCAGGGCATCGTCACTGAGAGTGCACTTGTGATGGGTCTCGTATAGATGCCTCAGACCGTGTAGAATTGCCAGGGCGGCCTCCTGAGAGGAGTGTTTCAAGGGAGGGAAAGAAGGCACAAGGGGTGGCACTGTGAGTTGCCGCCTCAACAAACAGATCATGGCCTTATCAGGGAGACAGCGGTCGGGAATGTAGCGCGAGGAGAGAGGGTCACTGCTGCTGCCAGGGCATCGTCACTGAGAGTGCACTTGTGGTGTGCCTCGTATAGATGCCTCAGGCCGTGCAGTATGGCTAGGGCGGCTTCCTGGGAGGAGGGTAAAGGGAGGAAAAGAAGGTGTTTGGTGCTGCTGCCTGAGCATCACCAGTGAGAGTGCACTTGTGGTGGGCTTCAATCATACAGGTGGCGCAGGCCGTGTAGAATGGCTAGGGCGGCTTCCTGGGAGAGGTAGGAGGGGTGAGGAAACGGAGGGAGAGGAACAAGACTAAGAGGCAGTGATTGGCGCTCCTGCTCGCCGCCTTGTCTCTTAGGTCAATGGCCTTGTCAGGCAGGCAGCGATCGGGGATGAAGCGCGAGGAGAGGGTCACTGCTGCTGCCAGAGCAGAGTCAGTGAGAGTGCACTTGTGGTGTGCCTCGTATAGATGCCTCAGACCGTGCAGAATGGTCAATGCGGTTTCCTGGAAGGAGGAAGGGAGGCAGAGGAGGCACAAGGGGAGACAGCGGTCGGGGATGTAGCGAGCAGACAGGGTCACTGCTGCTGCCAGGGCATCATCACTGAGAGTGCACTTGTGGTGGGCCTCGTATAGATGCCTCAGGCCGTGTAGTATGGCTAGGGCGGCTTCCTGGGAGGGGGGAAGGGGGTGAAGAAGGGGATGAAGCGCGAGGAGAGGGTGACTACTGCTGCCAGGGCAGAGTCGGTGAGAGTGCACTTGTGGTGTGCCTCGTATAGATGCCTCAAGGGCGGCCTCCTGAGAGGAGTGTTTCAAGGGAGGAAAAGAAGGGTGCCACTGTGAGTTGCCGCCTCAACAAACAGATCAAGACAGCAATCCGGGATGTAGCGGGCAGAGAGGGTCACAGCTGCTGCCAGGGCAGAGTCGGTGAGAGTGCACTCGTGATGGGCCTTGTATAGGTGCCTCAGCCCATGCAGAATTGCCAGAGCGGTTTCCTGCGAGAATGAGGGGGGATGGAGGGGAGGGGTAGAACAGTGATTTTCAGCCTCGTCCTGCTGGCCGCCTCGTCTATCAGGTCAATGGCCTTGTCGGGCCTCGTCTTTCTACACCCTACTACATCACACATACCATATCCTCGTTGTATCAAACAGCCTCCCACTCACCTCTGAGGGATCGTCCACAGTGATCAGCTGAAATCGCCTGGCCAGAGCCTCGTCCTTCTCGCCATACCGTAGCACAAAATGTCCCATCTCATCTGCGTTATAAGATCCTCCCTCTCACCTCCGAGGGCTCGCCTACAGTCACTGGCTGAAACCGTCCGGCCAGAGCCTTGTCTTTGCCCACCCTACCACAGCACACAACAGCACATCCGCATTATAAGATCACCTCACCGTTACATCTCCCTCACCTCGCCTAGCCAGTGCCTTGCCCTTCTCATATAACGAATCATCCCATCCCCATTACAAGATACACCCCCGCCCTTCTCACCTCTGAGGGCTCGCCCACAGTGACAGGCTGAAAGCGCTGGTCCTTCTCCTGATATAACACATCATCCCATCCCCGTTATTAGATCGCTCACCTCTGACGGCTCGTCCACTGTCACCGGTTGAAAGCGCCGCGCAAGGGCCTTGTCCTTTTCGAGGTGCTTGCGGAACTCGCTGGTGGTGGTTGTGGCGATGCACTGAGGGCGGGGGGGCGAAGGTAGGGGAAGAAGAGGGGGGATAAGGAGTAGGATGGTCTAAGACGCTAGATAGATGCAAGGCCAGTGCCTTGTCCTTCTCAAGGTGCTTGCGGAACTCGCTGGTGGTGGTGGTGGCGATGCACTGGTATATGGGAGGGGGGGAAGAAGGAAGAGAGGAGAGAGGCATGGGAAGGCAAAAGGCACTGGATACATGCGAGGCTATGGTATGCTGTGAGCCTTGTCCTTCTCAAGGGTGCTTGAGGTGCTTGCGGATTTCTCTGGTGGTGGTGGTGGCAATGCACTGACATGTGAGCACCGTTCCCACCGTGACATAAAAAACAGAAGATCTAGCGCCGTTTGTGTTGGGTATGATATACAGAGTCATCAAACTGTACTGGGTTCAGCACTCTTGCCATCCATACCTAAATCTGTCCCCTAGAGAAAGCAGGTTTGAGCACATTAGAGATGTCTGAATCTGAACCCCCACCTGCCTAGTCCCCTTCCCGCGGCTCCAGCTCCCACCATCGTACGGACCTCTTCGATCGCCAGCACCACCTCTAGTACCCAGCACAACCACCCTAAAGCGCACTCAGCCGCCCTCTGCCTCACCCTGGATCTGCCCTCGGAATAGTGCAGGCTTGAGCAGATTCAAACTGTCCAGTCCGGAACCCCTGCCGTCCCTGCCCCTCCCCATGGCCCCTGCTCCCGCCATCGTATGCACCTCATTTATCGCCAGCAGCACCACCGTCTCTATTACCAATCACTGAATCCGTTCCCCGGAATCACACTCTAAACCGCACTGAACTGCAATCGACCACCCGCTCCCCCTCACGGCACCAGCTCCCACCATCGTGTGTACCTCATCTATCACCACCACCACCTCTGTTACCCTGCACCACTGGACTAAACCGCTCTCAACCGCACTCGACAGATGACTCTCACCTGAATCTGGCCGCGTGACAGGGCAGGCTTGAGCAGGTTCGAAATATCCAGCCCCGATCCCCCGCCATCCCTGCCCCTCCCCACAGCGCCAGCTCCCACCATCGTATGCACCTCATCTATCACCAGCACTACCTCCCCCGCTGCTGCCACTGCTTCGGCCACCAACGTGGTAACCCTAAGTTCCAACTCCCCCCTTTCCTTTGCTCCTGCCATGACCCTCCCCATGTCCAGAGACAAGAGACGCTTGCCCTGGCGTATAAATGTGGAAAGTAGGGGGAAAGGGAGGGAAAAAGGAGAAATCTACCGGGTAAGAGGAATAACCCACCATCTTATGCACCTCGTCATCACCAGCACCACCTCCCCCGCTGCTGCCACTGCTTCAGCCACCAGAGAGGGCACTCTGAGCTCCAACTCTCCTCTCTCTTTTGCTCCTGCCATCACCCTCCCAATGTCCACAACAAGAGACGCTTGCCCTGGTATTAGAAGGGGATGAGGGGAGAGAGAAAAGGGCAAAATAGGGAAGGACAATGAGGGCAGGACTTAATGTATCACCAGCACCACCTCCCCCGCTGCTGCCACCGCCTCTGCCACCAATGACGTGACCCTTATTTCCAGCTCGCCCCTCTCCTTTGCCCCTGCCATCGCCCTCCGCTATGGCCGTCTTTCCTACACCCTCTATTGCAAATCCTAGTGCCTGCTACCCCTTGCTATAGTCCCAATGCCACACCTCGCAACGTTAGCAACCCTGTCTGCCTGACACACACTCACCTGCAGGAACGGAGGCACGTCGTTCTCAGCAATCCTGAGCGCCAGCCCCTCCGCTATGGCCGTCTTGCCCACCCCCGGCTCGCCCAGCAGCAATGGGTTGTTCTTGGTGCGCCGCGCGAGGATCTGAAGGGGTGGAGAAGGTAGTAAGACAAGGAGACGTGAAGAGAGGTGGGAGAGTTGGGAGGTGAGAGGCGAGGGGAGGCGGTTGTGAAAGAACCAGGGATATGGATGGGCATCTTGCCTGCCCCAGGCTCGCCCAGCAGCAGTGGGTTGTTCTTGGTGCGCCGCGCAAGGATTTGAAGGGAGGAGTGCGAGGTGAGGAATAATAAGTGGTGAGGAGGTGGGGGAGGGACAAACTGTTGGTCAGGGATGCAGAGGTCTCCCCTGCCCACCCCTGGCTCTCTTAGCAACAAGAAATAGGGGATAGCTCTACCACCTCTGCTATCTGCCCCCTGCCCTCTGCCCTCTGTTTTCCCATAAGGATTTCTATGGCTTTCTGTTCCTCATTATCTGATTGTGTTTTCACTTTCATGTTTACACGAAGGATATTTGCACCTAGCTTACCTCCACCTCGTCGACGTCCAACCCAAAGCCATCGAACACGAAAGACCCCCAATTTCCATGACCGTCAACAAGATCAAATTCGATGCTCAGGAATTAGCCTCTTACGTCTTCTCTGAGACCCTCTCTCCTCCACATTCATTAGCTTTTTCGAGATCCTTTCTGTATCCACTATTCAACGAGCCATAAAAGTAGCAGAATGAGTGACCAAAGCAGTCGTGATGCACCATCCGTGAACAATACTGATCAACTATTTTACTACCTTTGTCGCACACTGAAGAGAGAATGAAAAAGACTTTCGAATGAGCGATGAACATGGAGGAAAGACCAGCACTCATTACTGCACAAACCACACAGCTCACACACCTGCACCATCCTAGAGACCTCCTGCTCTCCACCAATCACCGGTTCGACCTTTCCCTGCACCGCCACTAACGTTACACCCACCCACCGACCCACCTACTATATCCCCGTTACACTCACATCTCAGCACAAGCACGCACCTGCACCACCCTCGCGACCTCCTGCTCTCGGCCGATCACGGGATAGATCCCTCCTTGCACCGCCATGGCCGTTAGATCCGTGCAGAACTGCTCCAACGCACTCTGCTGCGCTGCTGGTTGGAGGGGGGGTTGCAGAGAGACGCGGAAGAAACGAGGGGACAGCAATGAAGCAATGAAAACCCTGTAACAGGGTCGACCCCCCCCTGCACCGCCATGGCCGTTGGATCTGTGCAGAACTGCTCCAACGCGCTCTGCTGCGCTGCTGATTGGAGGGGGGGAGGATGGAGGCGAAAAGGGGGAGAAAGTGCGGGAGGGGGAGAAAGTGCGAGGGGGGGGGGAACAAGAGTCCTTGTCAGATCTCCCCCTGCACCGCCATGGCCGTTAGATCCGTGCAGAACTGCTCCAACGCACTCTGCTGCGCTGCTGCAATGAAGCAAAAGGGGAAACATTGAGAGTCGAGATGCGGAGACAAAAAGGAACTGAGAGGACAGCAATGAAGGGAGCAACGACCTCGTCACAGGGTCAATACTGCCATGACCGTTAGATCTGTGCAGAACTGCTCCAACGCGCTCCGCTGTGCTGCTGCTGGCGGGATGACAAGGGGTCACGAAGAGACAGGGGGGAAAAGAGAGAAAAGCATCAACAAATGTTCCTAAACCCTTCGCTCCCTGCACTGTCATGGCTGCTTAATCTGAGCAGAACTCGAAACCACTTCGAGCCACTGCTGCAGAGCAGGCGGGAACGGAAAAACAGCAACAAATCCCTTCTCACCTTTCTTCCCACGTCCCTTGCGCAAGGTGACTTGCTAGTGGAAAATTAGGAATAGGAGACTTGCTAGTGGGGCTGGTGGAGGGACGCGAGGAGGGTTGGTGATAGACTCGGAGGAGCGCCCATCTCTGTCCAGCTCTCCCTTGAGGCTCACAAACCAACGCAACGCACAACAAGGGCAGTCCCATTGAGCAGCACCAAGCCCCACGCCCCACCCCACCCCACCCCAGCAAGCCCCTCTTACCTTTCTTTCCGCGTCCCTTGCGGGCTGGCGAGCTGGCAGGCTTGCTAGCGGGACTGCTGGTGGTGGCGGGCCGCGAGGAGGGGTTGGTGATGGACTCTGAAGACCGGCCGTCCTGGTCCAACTCTCCCTTAAGCCGCGCCAACGAACATTAAGGCACAAAAGCGTTCACTAACGAGCATCATACCTTTCTTCCCTCGCCCCTTGCGGGCTGGCGAGCTGGCAGGCTTGCTGCTGCTAGTGCTGGTGGCAGGTCGCGAGGAGGGGTTGGTGATGGACTCTGAAGACCGGCCATCGCGGTCCAGCTCGCCCTTGAGCCGCGCCAACGCTGCTTCGTGCAGGCGATGCTGCTGCACTCCCAAACTGCCAAAAGTCAACGCAGTCAACAGAGTCAACAGGAAGGAGAGGGGGAGTTAGAGGAGAACCCATCCCGGTCCGGCTCGCCCTTGAGCCGCGCCCAGTGCTGCCTCGTGCAGGCGGTGCTGCTGCACTCCCAGACTGCCAGCCAGTCAACGCAGCCAAATGAGTCAACGGGGGAGAGAGGAGAGTTAGAGGAGCGCCCATTCCGGTCCAGCTCTCACCTCGCCATCACCAGTGCCGCTCCTTCCTCTTCTACTTGCACCACCGCCACCTCCAGATGCTGGGGAGCGATGAAGTTGGGCGATACTTCCCCCTAAGATACGGATTTTCGACTCGTTTGCAGTGTACTTCCTTACAGCCAGAATTCTCAAACTCTTCTCACCTCGCCATCACCAGCGTCGCTCCTTCCTCTTCCATTTGCACCACCGCCACCTCCAGATGCTCTGGCACGACGAAGTTGTGACGATGCTTCCCCTCAAGGCATGAGATTGTGCCGTTCGCGTGCAGATTACGGCTTGTACTGTCATACATCTGAATGTTCTCACCTCGCCACCACCAGCGCCGCTCCCTCCAGTTCCCCTTACACCAGCGCCACTGCCAGATGCCCTGGCGCAATAGTTTCCAAAAGCAACCTATACCGTCCTACAGTTGAACACTCTCACCTCGCCATCACCAGCGCCGCTCCCTCCTGTTCCACCTGCACCAGCGCGACCGCCAGATGCCGTGTTGGACCCAAGCACTCTCTAACACTCACCACTTCACTCCGAAGTCAACTGAAAAGGTCAACGCTTCTCAACTCTCTTCTCACCTCGCCATCACCAGCGTCGCTCCCTCTTGTTCCACTTGCACCAGCGCCACTGCCAGATGTTCTGGCGCGATGAGGTTGTGACGATACTTCCCTCTGAGACAGGGAATTTCGACATTCGTTTACAAATTACTGCACGTACCGTCTTACAGCTGTGCGCTCTCACCTCGCCATCACCAGCGCCGCTCCCTCCTGTTCCACCTGCACCAGAGCCACCGCCAGGTGCGCGCTGGACCAAATTAGCCACTAACGCTCACCTATTCACTCCATAATCAACGCTCTCACCTCGCCATAACAAGCGCCGCACCCTCTTGCTCCACCTGCACCAGCGCCACCGCCAGATGTTCCGGCGCAATGAAATTGTGACGATGCTTCCGCGATTCCTCCAGCGCCTTCTCAAACACCCGCTTGCTGCCGCTCGAAAACGGCACCTCCGACGCCGGCTTGCCGGCCGGCAGTCCCCCCGCCGCCGGCAGCCGGCCGTCTCGAATCAACGTGCCGACGGCGTCCCGCGCGCTGCGGATAGTCATCCCCAAGCCGAGATATCCGCCGGGTTTCCCGCCGCTCGCGAAATCCTCCGCGATGAGGCCCAATAGGAGCTGCTCCGTCGCGACCTCTTTCCGCCCGAGCACCTTAGCTTCCGCCTGAGCCATCATCACGGCTTTAATCGCCCGCTCCGTGAAACGCTCGAATACCGCTGTCACGACCGCGCGCCGGCCGCACGAAGCGGCGTCGCCGGCGGCGCAGCCGGAGCCAGCGGAGAGAAATGGAGCCTGGATTTGACGGTCGGAAACTTCAGGGAAGGCCGCGGAGTGAGAAAGAGAGGAGGAGGAGCGGCTGCTGGGGAGCTTCTGACGGTGCAGGCCGTCATACGCGCCGTGAAACACGGAGGACGCAGCATGGGAGCGGTTCGCAGACGAAGTGAGGTGAGAATTGAGCTGACGCGGAAGGGGAGATGAACGGGGTAGCGATGAACGGACGAGAGAGGAGGAGGGAGCGATAATTGCAGAGGAAAGAGAGGATGGGGAGAAAACAGACGATGGAGACATCTGGCAGCTCATGGCGAAAAGCGAGTGAGGTCCCGTGGAGATAGATTCAATTTTGATTGCAAAAACTATGAACTTCGGAATCTGAAGGCTAGAGCTCAGGTTTCAGCTGGAACCCCTGTGAGACGCCGAGTAGAGAAAGGCAAGTCCCGTTGACCCCTCTCGCGACTGCTTCGCACACAAAGGCTGATTCCGGCAGACACGCGGAGAGACGAACACAGACTCAAGCTGGAATTGCGGACAGCTGAGCAGCTGAATTATGCTTATTGGTCGGTCCGTGAGTCACACAAACTTCAGATTGAACTCTACGCAATATTCGAGCAACCCTCAGGACGCGTCACAAGTAAAATATCGAGGAAGGATCAGGTTTGTTCACCGAACCGGTGTGTCACGACTGCTTTGAAGTTTCAAGTGACACGATCGTAAAAACATGGGGCAAAATTGCCCGATGTGGACGAAATTGCACGATCGATGTGTGACAGGGGCACATCGATCGCCTGACTTAGAAGGGAAAACTGTACGTTAGCGAAAATAAACGAAAATGTGTAACCACCTAAACACCGATTCTAGGCAGGATCGATGTTCTACTTGTGACGCGTCCTCATGAACTTTGAAAAGGCTCTTGGGAGACGAGAACTGCAGGTGGAAAGGAGAGGAGCACCATAGGGAAGCCAAGAAAACTTTCCCCCTTCACATCCTGCCCTGCTTGGGGTCGCAAGCAGCATGGATTGTGCTCTGCGAGAAAGCGCAGAAGAGACTGCCGCTTTGGCGATTTTCGCCACCAATGAAGGTTACGGGCTTCGCTTTCGAAACTCTGGGCAAAACCGTAACCAGTGTTCCATGTTCCTGACCGACGGGAACAGCAGGAATCGGAAAATTCTTGGCTCTGACTGCCCGAGCCTCCTCGATTTCTCAACATCTTTCCGCCCCGCCACGCGGGGCTCCGCCGCACCCACACGCCCAAACCCCCCGCACTGCGCTATGCTGGTTACCTCTGGCAGACACCTCCGGTTTTCCCCCCACCTTTGAGAATGCGCGCCGCAGATTGCCCATGTGAAATGCCAGCTTGATTTCATGACAGGTGACGTGGATCCACACCCGAAGATCCAACCGACGAGGGTGACATGCTGCCAATAAGATCGACGCCAGAATGAGGGAAAGAAGCTGATTCGCTAATAGCATAAATGAAGCGCGTTTCAGTGGGTCGAACGACGTGTATTTGTGGTTTGCCGCGTCAGCCAAATCTTTTTTCAGGGGTCTGAAAGCAGTCCTCGTTGTTGTACTTGCTGTTTGTAGTGCTCCTCTAGTACTCTACTACAGTCTGGTCTTGTGTACAGCTATGGGTTTCAAGAGCATGACGTCCAAATGTTGCTGAACACAATAAGATTTGCCCAGTGCAGGTACATGAAGCAATGCTAGGAAGGAATGGCTTTTATGACTCAATCAAGCGCCCACTCAACATCCATCTGATCTACCATCTTCAGCTGACGCTTGCAAGGCAGCATTTTCCCCCTATTTTGAGGTGTCACTGTGTCAGTGAAATCAGACTCAGCCTTTGTAGTATGGCAGCTTCAACATCTTTGACGTCCTCAACGCCCAATATGTTGGAGCACTCTTCTTGAAAAGTTGTATTGCTGGAACCTGCCACTAAAGCTGCAATGCTGGTTGCCAGATCCGGCAAGCAACTGCCAACCTGAAAGGCAAAGTCATTATTCATTGCTCCACTCAACCACAACATAGTACACGCACGGCATTGCCTGTTTACCTTTGCTTGATGTACTGATGAAAACTGTCCTGGAAGCTGAGTCTTGAGCTGTTGCAATGATGCAATAACTGCATCCTTGACAAGCTTCAAAAGGATTTTACGCGGAACAGTTTCCGATTTTGCACTGCTTTAGGGGAAGTCCTCAAGAGAGGGTTGGGTACAACATAGAATGCGGTGCTGTCAACCCAGACGAGCAAAAACAATACGTGGGGTGATTGAATGCATGGATGAGATACGTTGGCTGTGCAAGAGATATGCAAGAGATGTGTGAGAAAGCAAGAGATATGGGTGAATGGGAGCGAGACACATACGATGAGATATGTTGGCTGTGCAGATGGAGATATATATTGAGGTGCTTCTCCATGTAACTCTTCTCAGTGTGGAAAATGCCAAAAAAACTGTGAATGGCTGCATCCGCAATGCTAATTCCGAAACTTTTCCAGAGATTGCTTTCAGATAGAGCCATTATCAGACTGGATCCGTCAAGAAGAGGTGACCAGTCTTTAAAAGCCTTCACCTGGAAAAATGAAATCCGTTGTTAGTGCTTAAAGAAATGGGCGACAGAGATAACCTGGTCTTCACTCACAGTGATGTCGTCCTTCGATCCTTCTTCATACGAAACAACGCAGTCCAGATTCCATGAGCGATGAGTCATGCTTCCTGATGCGATGCATGGAGCAGCTTTTGGCGCCCCCTGCGTTGAGTCTGACCTATGTTCACGTTCTAATAACAACGACTGGATCACGCCTGCTTTGAACTTTTCTAATCTGCTGAGCTCAAAGGCTTCGTCATCTAGAGCATATGATAACTGTATCACTCCAGGGGCGGCCTCTTTTGGTGCGGATGGTAAGTCATGGATAAAGGTCAGAAACTCGTCACAGAAATTCCCCAAGGTAAGGCTGATAGAAGTCTGGAACGTGCCGTGTAAGATGAGGTGGTAATTCACGCCACAAGCAAAAAAGCAGCAAACTAAACTGGCGTACCTGTGACTGAAGTACGGTCACCTGAACACAAAACAGTGCCATTTAATTATTGGTCATTGCGATCGCGAGTTGTGCCATAACAATGTGTACGTACCATCCCGATGAGCTCGTAGAGTCTCAACGCAGCATCCTCTACGACTCCATGAAAATCGAAAGAGACCTCAAAGCCAGAGAAGTAGGCTCCCTTTGGCTTCCCTATCGAGGGGAGTTGAGACCATGTCGGTTGACCTTGAGCTGGAATGTCGACGACATACCTCTTGACGTCGGTGTCGTGAATTCCTGTGGCAATAACCCACATGAATGTTCCCATTGAACACAACCAGAAAATGTCCACAAACACACTTACCTGTGGTCATAAAAGCAACGGAGTCACCTGGGGGGAGGGGAAACCGGGAAACTTGATGATTTGTCTTTCTCCCAAACAACAACTACAGAAAGGTGCTTTGGCAGGCTACAGGTGGCCAACGGAATCTTGTAGGGTTCTCACCCCATGCAATCTGTGGGAAACCAAGTGCCCCAGCCGTCTGCTGGAAGGTTGTAGACGAAACTAGACGATTGATGAAGGTCGCGGGATTTTTGTCTGCCAGCGGCTCCCCAGTATGGTTTATCGCAAATGTTCCTTTTGAAGTCTCGACATGATCTTCTGAATTGACATCAGCAGCTTTGGCTAGCGAGATAGTGATGCATCTGGAATCTGCTTCGTCCGTAGATCCAGATTGACAGCACCTAATCGCTTCGACGACAAGAGCATGAATTGCGGCCATTCCGTCTAGCCTGGAAGAACAGACCTCCATCGTGCGGTTTGACGAGGAGGAAAAGCGAGCCAGGCAAGCCGATGACAGGAATTCTTTTGTCATCAACAAGCTTTACCACAGCGATGAAGCGGGTAGTGGACTGTGCTTTGTGGTGTTCCCTTCGCTCGGGTTCTTGGGACTGTCTAGTGCTCTGCTGCTGCGGGTCTTCGACAAAACAGAACCTTGAGAATTGGTGCAATAAAGAAATTAACGCTTCTGACTACATGACGTGTAATTCCTGAACATAAATATTTTAACTACCCGATCAACTACCCGATCTTCCACAGATTCCTCCTTCAATGCATTTAGGGCGCATTCCTGTGTAGACACAAATGTCTCAATGCACTATTTTACGAGTCGCGTCTACACATTTTTTCAATGCCGCGTCTCAAACATTGGATGTATCGCGACAAAAGGCAATCAGGCGAAAAAAACAGTTGTGCGCATCTGATTGGTTTTCGAAAATGACTGTACACCAGTCTCGTCAAATGATTGGCTGGAGTGTGGTTGTGACGCGCGGATTCTTTTCCCGCGCGGAATTGTCATTGTCGAGGGGTCCAAATACATTGACATTTCGGACCGCGGGCGACTTTCCGAAATTGACGGGTCAATTTACAACTCGTCCGCGACGTCAGCGCGTTTCACGCTGACCAATTAAAAATACAGTACATGTCGCAGAAACACGACTCGCAATTGTGACACAATAGAGTTGAGGCTGTTTTTGGGTGTCACAAAGTGATTGAGACATTTGTGTCTACACAGGAATGCACCCTTAGTTGCTAATTCTCCTCTCCATCGATATGGATACACTCTGCATGAGAGGAACAGAAGACAAACACACGGGTTTAGATATTATAACAGCTACTTAGACACGGGAGTGGAAGTCATGCGAGAGAGCAAAAGAACTTGTATCCCATTTACCCCTAGTCTGTGAAGAGTGCCACTCAACACATCAACGCACCTTCACATTTCCTGATTGGTCGAAGTGAACCCGTGAGACAATTGCCTGGCTGGAAGCAAACAGCCACCCAGCCTCCACACAAAACGAGTCTTCTCCTGACAGTTCATCCACCTTATGCACATGACTCCATACCCCCTGGGATGCGGCAGAGGCAGCAGGGGCAGCAGGGGGGCAGCAGGAGCAAAAGGGGCAGCAAGTGAAGGGGTGGGAGGAGGGAGCGAGTGAAGATGATAGAGATGAGCGATTTAACAAGGTGGACACAACATCTCATCACAGTAACCACCTACTTCCCTTGAACCTGAATCCTGGTAGATTTCTTACCTCTGGGAGTATCATGAGCATCCCGTCCTCCAAGGCAGATGTCTCCATGTGCCTTGAGAGATCCGTTTGGATTGGCTTAGTCAACTCCAGAGCAACGAGTGATGGTGAGACGGCAGGCTGTTGGGCACGAGGGTGTGGGAATAAAAAAGGGTTATAAGGATTGAAAAACGGAGGGAGTGGAAGCAACAGAGGCAACAAAAAACGGGGATTGAAGAAAGTTTAAAAAATATGTTAAGATTGCGTTTGGTTCACATGTAGATGACGCAGGCTGAGGAGAGCCCAGGGGAAACCACTACACGAGTACCCCAATACGCAAGTCATTTTACTAGTCAATAGATGAATTAATGATGTGTTCTCCAGGCAAAGGGACCCCCCGGCATCTGAGTTGAACCTTACAGCTGTGGGCACTTGAGCTGTTCTTGTCGTCGCCTCCCATCGCCCTTCAATCTCCTTCACCCTGCCTTCCCTCACCGCCTCACTCCCCTCCCCCTCCTCAATCATCTCCGCACTGAACAGTGCTGCGCCGTCCGCCAGCTCAGCGCCGCCCGAAAACGGCTCCACCCACTTCTCCCTGTGCAGTGCCAGGCTGGCAAGCCGAGGCATGGCTACAGCTCCTGCTCTTCTCCCTTCTCTTCCCCCTCCTCTTCCTCCTGCTGCTGCGTTCTCTGGTTTGAATTGCTGCACGACGCGCACTCTCACTCTCCCCTTACCACTCGCAGCCTCCACCCCCTCCAATGCCAAGCAATGCTCCACCTGAAACGGCCCTCCTGCCATGCTGCCAATCCCTTCGTTTGAATCACCCTCGTCAGGGTCACTGTTGGAGCCACGGGGTCTGGAGTCAGTGCCACGTGGCATCCACTGAGTGGCCCGCATGGCGTCCACGCTGGCAGGCGCGGGCATGGTGGAGGACTGGCCAGCTCGGACTTGCAGATAAGAACCATCTGCTGAGAATGCAAACAGGTCGCCCGCAGCAGAAGCAGCACCACCACCACTGGCAGGAGCAGCAGCAGATAACTCCAAGGCCGTCCTTTCAACGCTGTATTTAGGCGGAGACGCCGCCTCGCACCCCGCAGCAGGCGCGTATCGCACGAGCGAAGACAGGACCTGCGAGCCATTCCCTAGGGTCTCCCCGCGAGCGGCGCTGGAGGTCTGGGATTGCCACGCGTATTGGACCAAACCCCAGTCGCGGAACGCCTCGGGAACGACAGATTGCGGCAACTCCAAGGGATCGCCGAAGCGCGAGAAGTCGACGGAGTACCCCGCCCACTCGCCGGAAAACGCGGCGGAGAATGCGGGCCACGCGGAAATGGCGGGCGAGGTCTGCGCGTGTGCGTCGGGTGTGGTAAGAGGCTCTGCCACGGGTGGGGACTGAGCGGTTTCGTGCGTTACGTTCGCTCGTGCTGCTGACACGTGGATGTAACGGGAAGCGCAGCGCTGACTGTGCGTAACGAATGGTGAGTATAGCGCGTGGTGATTAACAGGAGCCATCATCGCTTGCCGCCATGAGTGATGGCGCCAAGGGAAGGTTCGCGGCGCAGTAACAGGAACCCCAAGCTGGTTTACTGGATTTACGCGAAGCATTTCGGGTTGCTTCAATGGAGTTACATGAAGGCATTGGGACGGCAAACCCGAACCTCGCGGAACGCACTGGACGCATAGCTGCATGGCGACACGGCTTACGCACCAAGAAAACGCACCAGACAACCAAGGGCTTGATTGAGAGAGCGAAGCTACTAGATTTTCCACTACGAGCAATTTCTGCTGTGAGTGAGACAAACCTAGTCGTCGTAGCCAATATATTGGATGTTATTGACTACATCGCTAGTAGTCCGAAGTCCTGGCACTGTACAGATTTAGCTTTATTTAAATACAAAGGAAAGATTAGAAGCAAAAGCAACATTGTTGCATAGCATATGCAAGCTCAGCTAAAGTTGTCAAATCATCCTCTCCCTGTACATATGTATCTCTCGTATCAGCATTCGTCTTCTCTCTAAAACCGCACAGACATTGCACTTCAGGCCTTCACAATTCACATGCTTCTGCTGCAGTTGTTGCTCCTCCTCCTGCTCCTCCTGATCCTGCTGCTGCTGCTGCTTCCACCCTGGGCTATTCAAGCTCAACTCACACAGCTCAGCGCCTCTAGATTCAGTTCTACGCACTCCAGGGGTACCATGGGCAGGCACTCCAGGGGTATTATGGACAGGCCTGGCATTTGAAGATCGTTCTTCTTGCATAAATCCGAGACCCTGGCAGTGTGTTGCCAAGCCGAAATCATCACATGCAGGTAAGTTGAGGTCAGGGATGACGACGTGGGTACAAGATAGCTTCTCATAGCTTGCCCGTTCCTTCAACGACGTGCATTCACACTGCTCCATCAGCCCAGTCGCACATTGCTCCACCCACACAGCCCTCAAGTCACTGCGAGCTTCTGCCGAGCAGTCTGATGCAGCATCGGATGGGGGATGCTTGTCAGAGAGCACAGTTATTCCCTGACTCTCCTTGCTCCGCACGTAGTCGGCCCAACTTAGTCGCATGCTGCGTCCTTCTTGGTCGCTCCTAGTGACAGCTCCTTGCATCATAGGACCTCCTTGTTGCTGCGTGATTGCTGTGCTGGCCATTTCAGCAGCGCTTCTTGTCGCGCTGCTTGCCGCCTTGTCACTGGATGCTGCAAGTATGGTCCCCATGGGTTCTGGTGCTGCAGGACTTGAAGCACAGGTCCTGAAAACCCTGCGCTGGTGACGGGCATTGGTGCAGGCAGCACCATCACTATGGTAGTCATCGTGATTGTCACTACGGCCTCGTTTCAATATTGCGACTCTTGACGGAGCACCATGCGCTCTCACCAGCTCCTTCGCCCAGTGACTGCGCGGCGCCATGATCTCTAGAGTGCCGCACCTTAGAGCTCGGAAATGTGGGGAAGCGTAATGGGGATTCTCGGCGTGCGAATGAAGTGTTGAGCTGCAGACTTCCGAAGGCAATGCGAAATCGTGACACCAGGGATGGGAAGGTGAGCTGAAACGGAATGCTAAGCCACCTCACGCTTGACAGGAGTTTGGGAGAGGGGTGGGAGGAAGAGCGGCACCGGGACTCTCGAGTTAAGTGGCGCAATGTCAATGTCAGGGCGCTCGGGCGCTCGAGTTAAGTGGCTCAACGAATGGAAAAACGCCTGAGTAGTAAGTCGATTTTCAACATCCTTTTCAGCCGAGAACGAGCAGAAGATCCAACAAGGTTAACCCGCCAGATCAATGGCACTGGTGACGCCATATCTGGTTATTATTCGACAAGCCAGTAATTTCGTTAACGCTTTCCGATAAGCTGCTAAAGCAAGATGACGCTAGCAGATTTTGTCGGTGCCGCGTCGTCCGCTGGGAGTTGCTGGAGACGAAGAAAAATAGTATGGCGATATGGACACATGCCAGCTGGAGGCACACGATAAGATGCCTTGCGATATGCTCGCCCTATCGGCGGCATTCGAAGGAACAAGCGGAGGGGCCAGCATTTGGTGGGAGACACCTGCGCTCGAACCGTCGATTCGAAATGAGAACTTCATCGTGGGAGACAATGATCGTATACCTCCATAATCACAATCTTCTAGCTGATCGTAGCATGCCAAACACAAAGCACCTTTGCCGGTTTGTTGGCTCGTGGATACAGAAGATGGCGGTGAAGATATTGTACTATAATCATTAGCTGTCGCCTAAATATTTGGCTTGGGTCAGCAGATGTGTTCCAAGGCAGTGGTCGCCGGGGTATCGTGGTTTGGATCGGTTCGTGTTTCATCGATCAGATCAGACAGTTTTTCTCTGCACAGGCGTCCATACCCCAGGGCAACTGACGAGAGATGTCGACATAGCTCATGCGTTGGATCCTGTAATCTGATGGTTTGCGCACGGCGAAGGATGTCGCCGTCAACATCTCACACACTCAAATGGTATTTTGGAACGAAGTCAAACGGACGTACATGCAGACATCGCACCCATGCACAGACAATGAACACCTCCCGAAATCAGACAGTAGATGTTGAAGAATGCTTCGAACCACGTGCTTCCCAACAGAACCGTAGTGTAGTGGAGATGAACAGAAATTGCCTATCAAACATAACCTGGTGTTGTCGCAAGTGTTACAAGGTTCCAAACTGTTATGAGTTGTGAATTTATGACCCTCCTTTTATGTGTACACAAAGTTGAAATGAATTCGAGCATCAGCTTTTAGAGGGAAATTTTGAAATCTCTTGTGGCTATTGCATCCGACACTAAATCTGACACAACCACCGTGTCAGAACTTCGATCTGATGCGTCAGTCGCGCGAGTAGAGAAGTCCACCGGGTCCTATGTACGGGAGTATACTGTATAATGTGGTGAACATTTTACAACTTGCACCCCAGTAAATCATCAACTTGCTGGAAAGGGGGCGGTGTAAAGAAGATGAGTTATCACCCATTTGCCCCACTATAATTCCCATAGACAATGGGGGGACTGCATATATGGGTTACAATAGTTGTGAAGGGTCCTTCATCGAGGCTGCAATGCAAGTCAGTGTCGGCAGGAAATAGTGGTGAGAGAAATTGCGGCAATAGGGGCAGGGGGGTGCACGGGGAGAGAAACTGCAAGGGTAATGGCCAGGGGAGAGGGGGGGCGGGGAGGGAAAGTGCGAGGGTAAGGGCTTGGAGGGAGGAGGGAGGGGAGAGACTCCACGAGGGTAGGGCTGGGTGGGGGAGATGGGGTGGGGAAATTGCAAGGGTAAGGGCTTGGGGAGAGAGGGGAAGAGAGAGGAGGAGGAGGATGGGGAGAGAAACTGTGATGGTAAGGGCTGGGGGGAATGGCGAGAAGGACTGCGATGGTAAGGGTTGGGGGGAATGGCGAGAAAAACTGCGATGGTAAGGGCTGGGGGGGAATGGCGAGAAAAACTGCAATGGTAAAGGCTGGAGGGGAATGGCGGAAGGGACTGCGAGGATAAGGGCTTGGGGATGGGTTGAAGTGAGATTTGCAAAAATGATGGTAGGAAATGGTGAAAGAAACTGCAAGGATAAGGGCTGGGGGGAGATGGGGAGAGAACTTCGAGGGTAAGGGCTGGGGGGGGGATGGATGGTAAGAAAAAATTGCGAGGGCAAAGGCTGGGGGAGAATGGCAAAAAAAAAGAGGAATGGGGAGAGAAAGTGTGAGGGGGAAAGGCTGGGAGGGAACGGGAAGAGAAACCACGGGAGCAAGGGCTGGGGAAAATGTCAAGAATAAATGAGAGAGAGCGGAAGCGGTCAGGTGACAACCCAATTTCTGAAACTGCAATCAGTCACGGAACCGGTTTTAACACCAACTCATAAGTGTCCAGGCTGAGAAAAACTCGAAAAAATCAGAGGAGACCCATATGATTTCACTGAATTTTGAGGGGTACACCGGAAAAAACGGAACAAGTTCGTCACCTCCAAAACTCCCTGAACTTCAGGAGAATCAGCGTAGTAAAGGCCTGCAACTCGAAGTCCTGCTGAACGGCCAGTTTGAAAAAGGCTACAATCCACACAACTTACCGTTACGAAGAATGCATGGTCCCTCCGCAAACGGTTCAGTCACAATGCCAAGGCGCCTGCCTTGCTTTGTGATCACTCTCCTTCAACCTTGGTAATCCGTCCGCTGTAGTGATCTGCATGCGCTACTCTATTCATCCGTGCGCTGCAGTAGCCCACACGCTATAGTGATCCAAGTGTTAGTTCTACATGTTCTCCGAATGCCAGGCTGATCAATACGCTATAGCAATCCGCACACGCCGTAATGATTTCAGCGCTCTAGAGATTCTTCTGCTCCCCTGCACCACACCCAACCGCTGAGCATCTCACGGCTGGGCTGCATCCGCGTGTCTCGCTGCCATTCTTTGCTCCGCAGCCCATGAAAACACTGATTTCACCGGGTCCCATTTGAGTCGACTCAAAGCCACCTCCCCTGTACCGTACCAAACCGTCGAGCACCTCACGGCTGGGCTGCATCCGCCCGTCTCGCTGCCATTCTCTGCTCCGCACCGCAGCCCATGCGAACACCGACTTCACCTGTACCTAGCCGCCTATTTTTGAGTCGACTCAAAAGTACACCCAACAGAGCATCTCACGGCTGGGCTGCATCCGCCCGTCTCGCTGCCATTCTTTGCTCAGCAGCCCACGCAAACACCGACTTGACGGGGTCCCTAGCAGCCTGCCGCTGCCGCTGCAGCAGCAGCTGCTGCTGGTACCGGTGCTGCTGCCACTGCCGCTGCCGCTGCTGCTGCAGCTGCAGCTGATGCTGCTGTTGCACCCTGCTCTGATCTTCTAAACTCGTTGGCACGGCACCAGAAATCTGCATTATACAAATTTTCCCAGTAGGGTATACTCTGGAATTCCCTCCGTTCATCTGCCGTGCTCCTGCTCCTGCTCCTCCTCCTGCTGCCACTGCTCCTCCTCCTGCTGCCACTGCTCCTCCTGCTGCCGCTGCGGCTGCCGCTGCTGCTGCTGCTTCTGCGGTTGCTGTTCGGGATAATGATGGTGATGATGATGACGATGGTGCCCGTGATGCTGCCGCTGATCGTGATAATGATGGCGATGATGACCCTGATGCTATTTGCACGAGACCGACATTTCTTCCCCCGTGCGCTACCCTGAAAGTAATTCCTGACGCGTACGCTGAATTGTATCGTGCCGCGTTTCCTGCCGCGTTTCCTGCCCCCGAACTCTGTGTGCTGCCGTTCCCCAACCGTTCGCCTCCTGACGGCCGCGCTTGCGAAATCCCGCCGGCTGGCCGTCTAAAAACGACGGCGCCGCCACGCCCCCAAATGATGGCCTTCATCGCCTCATTCCAGAGCGTCGCCGCGTCCTTCTCCCCCAACGTGTGCGCGCTCCGCGACCGGCGGAGCCACCGGCGCATCGCAACTTTCCGCGCCTCCGAAACGACGCCCTCTAGCGGCCGCGACGGGCCGCCCAGGCTATCCTTCCCCCCGCGCGCGGACTCTCTTAACGACGGGTCGCTTCCGCTCCGCTTGAGCTTCCGCTGAGCGCGGATATGCTCGATGCTATTTTCGAACACCGGCTCGCGCGCGCGATTCCACGATTCGAGGCGGCGCTGCGCGGAGTTAATCGAAAGGCGGCTCCGGCCGTCGCTCGTCGCCGCGTACGGGAAGGCTGCGGCCGCGTCTCGCGGGGTGTCGTTGGCGTTTGTGAGCGCGACGAGATGTTGTAGCTGCTGCAGCGACAGCCCGTAGCCGCTTGAGAGAGGATTCGATGCGGCGGCGCGCGTCGGAGGCTCTGACGCCGCGCCGCCGCCATGGCCGCCGCCGAATTGGCTCGCCGAAGCGCAGTTGTCGTCTTTATTAGTAGTAGGAGCGGCGAGGAGGGACGTGGTTAGTGGCTCTGTCGTTTGATCTGGTTCCGCCGCGCACTCGCTGCCGCCTGTCGCGAGAACGGGAACGGACTCCCCCGCCGCTTGCGCCGCTTGCGAGGGTCTGGCGAGCGGAGGCGCGGACGGCGAGGCTGCGCTTTCAGCGCGCCTCGCTACGGGATCATCGGCGCGTGCAGCTACGGGGGATGAAACGGCGGAGCCGACAGACGCCGAAAACGACAGGACTGCGAATCGTTCGGCTGGGATAACCGCGACGGACGCGGAGGAGTAGCGCGCGTGATGCGCGCGTGTGACCGCACCTCCGGCGGACGCCATTGTCGCCGCAGCTGGAGGAAAAATCTACGTACCCGCTGCTTTGCGCTATCGTCGTTTCGGTTGTAAGAACATCGCAGGAGGATTACTAGCACTGTTTCGGGTTGGGTATTGCTAAATTGACCGATTTGAACAAACCAAAATCAGCTTGCTCGATACACACGAGTTCTAACCGCGTGAAAGGCGGTGCAATTGCTCCAGCTGGGTTTACCTAAATCGCGGGCGGACGCCATTGTCGCTCTTGTTGGAGGACTACACCCACTTTTTCGATTCTCTCACCTTGAGCGCACACTGGCGACAGTGCTGGATGTCGTGGGCAGGTGATATAAACCGTACCTTGGAACCTGCGGGCAAAGCCGCACCAGGCAACTATCTGTCATTGGACCTAAAGAATACCCTTCCCCGACCGTTTTTACACGCACAAATACTGTTTTATAACGTGCATCACCTCACCTAGTCGCGTTTCTATGATTTGTGAGTGTATCGTTAGATCGGGCCGTTCTGAACATGGTGAGGCTATACAATCCGTGTATTGCTTTGAACCAGAAGCTCTTCTGTCGAAACATTAGTGTACTGGCTAAAGCTGGCTTGTGAGGGTTGACGGAAAACGGCTTTGGCCGGGCTCCCTCAAACGACAGAGCTAATGAGGAAGGGAGGAAGGGGGAAATAATGACCAAGATCCTGCGAGCATAAGGCAGGGCTTGTTTTCCCAAGGCAGTGTCGCGCACGGCGCGACATTGAATCTCCGCCATCCTGGCAATTGATTCACGCGGCTATGCGCATTGCACAATTCACGTGCGGACGACTTCGTCGATCAATATTTATAAAATACACCCTATTTCTCAACCTTCTCATCCGGCGCGACTCGTCGCTACAGTTCTTGTCTCTTGCGATCTGGTGCCATTAAACGTTCCAGCAACCTGGGGGGAAAGCCGAACCGCGGGACAAACTGGCTCAAGAGCGTAAAATTTCCGTAATCGCTATATACCCTTCCCAACCAAGTGGAAACGTTGACAAAGTTTTTTGTAAAGTGCATTACCTTACCTTACCGCATTCTTTGCATTGTGCATGTACAGTACGTGACAAGACCGTTTTGAACGCGGTGACGTTCTACAACCCGTGGACGTTCTGCAACAAGATGCTCTACTAGCGCAAAATAGGGTGTATCGAAATACTCAACAAAGGGAACCTTTCATACGACGACACACCCGTCCACCTACCCACGGCGTCGGGGCATCGGTAAGGACGCCATTGTTTTGCAACTGTACTGTACAAATGATGCTCGGTAAGGTTGCCTTGTGAAGGGGGCTCTTAAGTGATTCTTGCATTTCGCTAAGCTTTCGTCAATTCGCACTTAGCAAAAAGGGCTTATAGAAAATTTTGTAACTCGCCGTTGACCATTTGACTTCGGTCTCTTCGGTCAAGCTTCGTTTTATGTGGTTCGTATTGGTTCAAATAGCTGCAACTTGCTTGAGGCGCTTGTAAGTAGGGTGCAACTGGCCGGCATTAAATACACGCGTGCAGAGTATCTGGCGCGTCCAGAGCAAATTCGAGCGCAGCAGTTGAGCAACATGTGTATCTGGTTCTCAGCTAGCTACATTCATTCGCCGTGCTATAACGGCGAAAATGTTGTGCGCTAGCAGAAATGTGATGGACGTACGGATTCGTCACGTAGCGCTGCCCGATGGCACAGAAAGCTGAACCTATTTATACAGAGGACGGGAGGCAAAACAGCATGCCCCATGATGCCTCCCGATTCCTTGTACAGTACAAAGAAGGGAAAATATGTCAATGGTAACTTACATGGGGCACATTAACGCGTACGGTAACGATTTTAACGCGTTTGGTAACTCGCTTAACGCGTTTGGTAACTCGCTTAACACGTTTGGTAACTCGCTTAACACATTTGGTAACTCTACACTAGCAGCCCATCACGCGAATGGTAACTACATGAAATTTCCGCCGAAATCTTCCTGAAAATAAGGAATTTATCGAGTTTGAGAGCTTTTACGCACATCATTATCTTTCTTGAACGCGTCCCGCCACGAAAATTAAGGACCCCGTTTGTTCTATTACCACGGACCGAAAAGTTCAGAATTTATATATAATTATGTAGCTCGTACAAAAATGGATAACATCATATTTTGATAGCATGATTGCGAACTTGCAAAACGATAAAAAAATCTATTCCCGAAAGGACTTTGGGAAGTTTACTTTTTTTTTAATACTGCAACGCTGGAAGATTTTTTCATGTGAAAAAAACAACCTTTTTAAAATTACATCTTTCATTTTTTAAAATAAAGATCCATAAACGCCTGGTCGCAAGAAGTTTAAGGTTGTTGCTCTCAAATTTATTTGCCATCTGAAAGGGATATAGATTTGTTTGCCCCGGCTGCACGATAGAATAAAGTACAAACAGTTTGCGGAAAGTGCGCCAGAAACATTTATGTAGGAAAAACTGTTTTCACAAAACTTACGTTTTTATAATTTGCCTGAAAATCGGAAAGTGTGTCAGGATTTCGGAAAGTGTGTCAGAATTTCGGAACTTTGTGTCAGAATTTCGGAGAGTGTGTCAGAATTTTCTGCTTCAGGATTTGTCAATTTATTCTGACGCGAGCGGGAAAAACCAGAATCAGGCTCAATTTCGGTGGGAATTTCATGTAGTTACCATTCGCGTGATGGGCTGCTAGTGTAGAGTTACCAAATGTGTTAAACGAGTTACCAAACGTGTTAAGCAGGTTACCAAACGCGTTAAGCGAGTTACCAAACGCGTTGAAATCGTTATCGTACGCGTTTTAGTGCCCCATGTAAGTTACCATTGACATATTTTCCCTACAAGGAATGCCATCCTATAGGGCAGCGGGCAGGGCTAGACAGATGGGGATTTGGCGAATTGATTTCCTCACTTCACCCATACGCGCTTCTCAGCTGAGGAGGACTGCCAGCTACTGACTCACAAGAGTTGGGGGCATGCCTCATGCCAGCAATGTTTCATGATGCTGTAAACGTACAGTACCATCATTCCAGACATTTCCAATATCCACCAACGGTCTGCCCGTTTTCATGGGCTGTAACTGGGTGCAATCAAACCCACTACCGCGAAGCTGAAATATGTGAGCAGTTGTACCTATTTCTAGCTGAACTGACCGCTAGGTGCTTCGGGAACCCTAAGCGCCTGCTCAACAGCACGGTCTGCAGGGTTAAGCGAGGCCTAGGGTAAAAGTTTCAGAGGCCCAGAAGTTCCTCAAGGTTCAAGGCTGGCAACCCCGACATGCAGGGGCAACGAAAGACCAGTTGACTTGCCACGTGGGCGAAGGGGTGTGGACCCTGACACAAGTTTGCCCTGCGACAGGTTGGCTGGGCAGCATGAGGTGTCTGTTGGAACTGTTAGAGGGCCTGATGCCAACGTGGTATTGCGAGGTTCTATGGTGACGTTATTACACTCTCCAATGTAAAGAACTTCTCAATCCACTGCATGAATCAAGCATAAACTTTTGTTGCTTGATTGACATCGATTATTTTTCTATTTCAGGCATTACCGTAAAGCATTCAAATTACACAGGTTAGTGCATCAACAAGTCGATGCTACTTCTCTACTCCCTTTACAGCAACAAGCAGGTGCCTCTTTAGAGGCCAAATCACAGCCTGTAACCTCCCATACCCCATGCCTTGTGTAGGATCCACCTAGGTGGATCGCAGATTTGCAGCAATTCTGTACCCCTTGGCGAAAGGACAACGATGGTGACAGGGCACAGGTGAAAGGGCGATGGTTGGATAAGATGCCGACGAAGAGAAAACGGCCCGGAGAGAGGTGGCGGAAGGGTGGTGGTGCGACTGGAGGAGCCTCATAGGGTGGAGAGCGGTGGAGAGAGGAGTATCAGACTTGGGAATGGATGGTGGAGAGGAAGGAGAGGAATCACACGAAGGAGGTAGTGAAGGAGGAGGGAAGGGTATCAGACGGGGGGAGGGAGCGGCGGCAGGTGGGGCATTCCATCTTGATGTCCATCCATCGCTGCAGACATGCCGTGTGAAACATGTGGTCACACGGGGTCACCTGCATGGGGGGAGGAGGGTGCGATAGGCAGCATATGCAATGTACACAGAGTGAGGGTGTGTGATATGTCCATCCATCTGCAGGCATGCCGTGTGGAACATGTTGTCACAAGTTGTGACCTGCATGGGAGGATGGACAGTGTACAATTTAGGTAGTCAAGACAAGACAAACGGGATGGTGCCACGCCATGCAGCCATCAAACCATGCAAGCCATACAGAACCCATACCAGGCAGTCCATGGAGTGGGAGGTGATGGGCGTTGGCGTCATGCACATGACAGTATGACTTGAATAAGACAAAACAAGAGATCCATCGTACCATGCGGTCCATGGAGTGCGAGGTGATGGGCACGGGCGTCATGCAGATGACACAGTCTGCCTGCCCACTGTCATCCGTGTCACTGCTCTGGCGCATGAGGCACGACACGCGGCGGAAGTAGGAATACTTCTCCGGCAGGAACTGTTGGTGGGGAAGGGGAACGGGAGGCATGGGAACGTAAAAATGTGAGGGACACGTCATGCTTATCAGTAGGCATGAGCAGAGTACCGAACCGAACCGGTTCGGCCACTATAGCGCATTCACCGAACCGGTTCGTGCTCGAACCGAACCGGTTCACTTCGAACCGTTCTGGTCTCAAGCCGGTTCGAGATTCGGTATTATAGCAGGAATAACGAACCGAACCGGATGGACCATTTTAGCCCATCTTAACCTTTCGTAACCCCTCCCCGCCTCTCTGTGCCCCTAGTTGAAAGCTAAAAACCGAACCGGTCGAACCGCCGAACCGGTTCGATGACAAACCGGTTCGGCCCGTGGCGAACCTCTTGAACAAAACAAGGCTGAGGTTCGGTTCGTAGCGAACCGAACCGCGCCGAACCGAACTGCAGCTCGGCTCTTTGCTCATGCCTACTTATCAGCACACCACGCGGGACTCACTCCACCCGCACAAGCAACCGGCTCCAGCCACAGCCAACCCAAGCTACATTCAGCCAGCCAACCCACCCACCTGTTTAGGGATAAACCAGCGAGGCCCCAGGTAGTGCTGCAGCAGAAGCGCCGCCACCTGCGCCCCCATGAACGTGATCAGCGCAGCAAGAGCAGCCCTTTTGCATGCAGCAACCAGCCCACCTGTTTGGGAATGAACCAGCGAGGCCCCAAATAGTGCTGCAGCAGCAGCGCCGCGACCTGCGCGCCCATGAACGCGATCAGCGCCGCACACCATGCCGGGCTCGGCTCCACACGCATGAAGTTTTTCGGGCAGCCGAAAATGTAGAGCGGGATGGCAAGGCGCGTGGCGGACATGCCGAGAATGTAGTGCACGTGCAGGGGCTTGCGCGAGTCCCTTATAACGGATGTGACTATCTGGGGGATCCAGAAGGAGTAGAAGAGCAGCAGCAGGTATCGCAGCGCCGTGCTGAAGCGGTAGATCAGGAGGATTCCGCCTAGGAGGAATCCGTCTGACAAGGGAGGAGGAGGGCGGGAAAGGGGGAAAAGGAGGAAAGGACAAACAATGAGAGTGAGCAGGGAGTAGCATGTAGCGCAGGGCCGTGCTGAAACAGTAGATCGAGAAATGTCGACCAGGACGAGAAGGAAGGCGGAAGTCGAAAGGCCAAGGGCAACGGGATTGGTGATGGAGATGGGCAGGTGGGATAGAGGCAGATGAGCAGGATGGAGGGGAGGGGGCGATGGGCGAGGGAACGGGGGAAGTTGGGGGCGCAATGGGAGCGATATAAGGAGGGAGGGGGGGGGGGTGGATGGGGGCATCCGTCCAAGGCACTCACAGAAGCGCGAGTAGAGGATGGAGAGCTCGCGCCTCATGAGGTCCCAACTCTCAGAGGACTGTTCGGGCAAGCGCCCTAATGAGGCAGACTGTGAGGCACTCCAACACTCAGGACACGAAGGCACTCACAGAAGCGCGAGTAGAGGATGGAGAGCTCCCTCCTCATGAGGTCCCAGCTCTCAGAGGACTGTGCGGGGCGGCGGGCCCTTAATGAGGCACCAGTGGGAAACAGACAGACTCACCGTATGCCATGACTGACTGACTCACAGAAGCGCGAGTAGAGAATCGACAGCTCCCGCCGCATCAGGTCCCAGCTCTCCGAGGACTGTGCGGGGCGGCGGGCCTTCCAGATGGCGAGCAGGTAGCGCATCTCGAAGATGGAGAAGATGACAAACTTGAAGAACGCAGCAGTGGCGAATGCATTGAATAGGGATTCCGCTCCTGGGTAGAGGGAGGGAAAGGCACAGGCACGGGGCGGGACGGTAGGGGCAGGGAGCAGGGGGCATGGGGCACGGGGTACAGAGCAGGGGGCGGGGGGTAGGGGGCAGGGCGCACAGGGCACAGGGGGACATGAGCACATTGCGCTTTCCACATGGCGAGCAGGTAGCGCATCTCGAAGATGGAGAAGATAACAAACTTGAAGAAGGCTGCTGTGGCGAATGCGTTGAATAGCGACTCCGCTCCTGGTGAAGGTGGGGCAAGGGGCAAGGGGCATGGGGGGAAGGGGGCAGGTAGCGCATCTCGAATATTGAGAAGATGACAAACTTGAAGAAGGCTGCTGTTGCAAAGGCTGCTGTTACGGATGAAATATACTATAGCGAGGACAACCTGGCTTACCCACTACGATGCCGGCTGTGAGGTGCAGCAGGCAGAGGTACGCATCCATGATGGCCTGCTGGCTGGCTCACTACAAAGATAAGGACACTCTACGTAGACCAGGATCACACCAGAACGAGGATAACTTGGCTTACCAACAACGATGCCGGCTGTGAGGTGCAGCAGGCAGAGGTACGCATCCATGATGGCCTGCTGCTGGTGCTGGTAAGGCCGCTACAAGGCCTTGCATGTGAGCACACAAACAACTTACCCACTACAATTCCAGCTGTGAGGTGCAGCAAGCAGAGGTACGCATCCATGATGGCCTGCTGCCCCACCATCAGCATCGATACCTTGGCTGCTCCCTGCGGTGATGGGTGGTGGGGGGGAGGGAGAACAAACAGGATATTCATGCGTATTCCCAACATTAGCCTCCAGTCATGATGGCCTGCCGTCCCACCATCAGCATTGATACCTTGGCTGCTCCCTGTGTCATGGTGATGCAGGGAAAGGGGTGGGGTGGGACGGGGGAGGGGTGAGAAGAGGTGGAAGAGGAAAGATGGGTGAGGGAGGGGATAGGATGGAGGGGAGAGAATAAGAGGTGATGAAAAGAAGCAGAAAGAACGGCAAAGCAGGAACAGAGCAGGAGCATGAGATGAAGTGAAGGAAGTGAATTAAGGGCCATGGTAAGGACGGGAAGAGAATTGAGACTGTTTGTATGGGGGATGGGCGAGAGAATCAGACGGAGCAGCAGAGAAGAGAGGCATGGGAAGCAGAAGGGGTATGAGACGCACTGATTGTGTGTTGCTGTGCTCCATTTGCCGAATGATGAAGAGCACTTGCAGAAAGGAGATCTGCACACATGGCAGCAGCAGCAGCGGTGGCGGTGGCGGCAGCACACATGCACATGGGGAGGAGTGCAGCAGAGATGATTAGGCAAGGGAGTGAAACAGATAATGGGGACAGCAGCACGGACTATGACCATGGGAGTGTAGTTGACCGCTTTATTATAACACGCCTCCAAGTCAACAGCAGTCACATTGACCCAGAGTCGCACAGCATGGGATGTCGTAGCATATTCTCAAAGTAAGGAACTCACGAATGTGACCATGAGCGTGTAATTGACGGCCTTATTATAGTACGCCTCCAGGTCAACCACAGTCGCGTTGAATCCCAGAGTATGACTCACAAAGCACAAGGATTCGACCAAATTGTCAGAGATACTCACGAATGTGACCATGAGTGTGTAGTTGACCGCCTTATTATAATATGCCTCCAAGTCAACAGCAGTCGCGTTGATCCTCAGCGTATCAAAGCACAGGATGTAATGTAACCATGAGGGTAGAATGTCAATGAGAACTCACAAAGGTGACCATGAGCGTGTAGTTGACTGCCTTATTATAATACGCCTCCAAGTCAACCGCAGTGGCGTTGATCCGCAGAGTCGCAAAGCATGGCGCCCCACTCTCATCCCCCTCCCCCTCCTCCCCCGCTCCCCCCACCACCCGCCCCCCCACGGGATCCTCTGCTGCTACTAGAGCAGCATCCGCCTCCCAGGATTCCCCCCCCCCCCATTCCGCCCATTCCGCCCATTCCCCCCCGCCCCCCCTTGCTTTCCGCCAGCAGCTCCGACCCCCCTATTCCCGAGCTCAGTCCTCCCCCTCCCCCTCCCCCTCCCCCCATCCCTCCGCCCAACCCCAGCCCTAGCCCCGCCCCTATCCCTGACGATCCTGCTGCGTTTGCAACATCAGCCGCAACGTTACCACCACCAGCAGCAGCTGCAGCTGCTGCAGAGGCGGCGGCGGAAGCTGGTCTAAAGAAGGGGTGGCGAGAGGCAAAGGAGGAGGCTGCACTGCTGCTGTCCTCCTGCACGCTTTCTACGAATCCCTGCATCTGGCTCGGCACGTGCTCCTGCACGCCGTCTGGTGGGGTGGGGGGAAGGGAAGGGGTGTATATGGGGGTGGGGAAGCAGGGAGGCGGGGAGAAGGAAGGGGGGGGGAAGAGAGAGGAGAGATAAGACGCTGGGTTAAAGGCTGTCCTCCTGCACGCTCTCCACGAATCCCTGCATCTGACTCGGCACGTGCTCCTGCATACAGTCTGGTGGAAAAAGTGGGTTGCGGGAGACGGGTGGGGAGGAGGATGGGAGCCGAGAGGAAGAGAGAGGAGGAGCAACAGCGATTTTCGAGGCGCCTCAAAGAAGGGAGGGTGGGGAGAGAGAGGTGGGGAAACGAGAAGACTGGCGGCGGTTGGCCGGGTGGGGAGGGAGCAAAAGAGTGAGGCATACGCACGCAATGTGCGGACGAAAAGTGCGAGGAAGGAATGGTAAGGGTGAAAGGGCGAGGGCGGAAGTGGGCGGGAGGGTGGGAGGTAGAGGGCGGAAGCGGGCGGGAGGGTGGGAGGTAGAGGGCGAAAGCGGGCGGGAGGGTGGGAGGTAGAGGGCGGAAGCGGGCGGGAGGGTGGGAGGTAGAGGGCGAAAGCGGGCGGGAGGGTGGGAGGTAGAGGGCGAAAGCGGGCGGGGGGGCGGAAGCTAGAGGGCGAAAGCTAGAGGGCGGAAGGGCGACTCACTTCGCCACTCCCACACGGCAGGTGAGACGTGCGTGATCATCCTGATCTTGCAGTTGCGCGCCATCTCCACCACCGCTGCTGCACGGGAGAGTGCGCGGGAGAGGAGGGGCAGGCGGGGGGGAGCAGAGGAAGGAGGCGAGAGAGGGGGAAGGGGAGACGGACGTGGGCGGGAGAGGGGGAAGAGGAGACGGAAGTGGGCGGGAGAGGGAGACGGGGAGACGGAAGGGGGCGGGAGAGGGGGAAGGGGAGACGGAAGTGGGCGGGAGAGGGAGGAGGGGAGACAGAGTGAGAGAAAAGGCCAGGTCAGCTCAAAGACACTGTGGGGCACTTGGTAGGGACGAAGGGAGACGGGTGGGCAGAATGGAAAACAGCGTTAGACAGAGTAGGAGAAGACGCGGCGGGGCAGAATGGCATGCATAGTGCAAGGCGGAGCGCTATGACGGGAACAAAGAACGGCGAGAAGGGATGGGATACGGTGGTACAACAAGGAAGCAGTAAGCGGAGAGGGAGTGGGGGCGGAGAGGGAGTGGGGACGGAGAGGGAGTGGGGGCGGAGAGGGAGAGGGGGCGGAGACGGCAAGGAGTGGAGGCAGCCAGGAGGCTCCGAGGGTAAAAAGCAGAGAAGGCGTGGGGGCGGAGAGGGCAAGAAGCAGAGAACAAGTGGGGGCTGAGAGAGGGCGTGGGGGTGGAGAGAGCGGGAGAGCCATACTGTGATCTGGTGATCCCTGGCCTCGTTTACTCGAGTCGTGCAGCTCCTGCCGAGCGACGAGGGGGGGGATGGGAGAAGCGAGTGAGAGGGCGAAAGGGTGCGAAGAATGAAATAGAAGCGAGCGAGGTACGGCAGTTGTGAGGCATACTTTGACGTCGACCTTCCGATCCATCGATAGGGACGACCTCAGGGACAATAGCCGCCCTGCCCCTCTCCATGGCACGCAGCGCTAACAGCATGGCAGCGATCTCATCGTGAATCACGCACCCACTGACCGAGCTTTGGAGAATGAAACAAACATACAACACGCATTCCAAACCAAACTCGCTTACTCTCCATCGGATACCTCCGGACGCACCAGCTGGGTAGCCGTTGGCGGTGCTCTCTTCGTCCACTTCTGTGGAGTCTGCACCCGCCGAGCTGCTGCGGTCACCATCACAACCACGCGCATTCCAGCCTAACCACATAATGCGCCAATCTCCCAGCCAGCAAGAACTCGAACTAGGACTACCGGATCCTCCCCCAACTCACCAACCAATCCCTCCACACTCACCAGCTGGTAGCCGCTGGCGGTGCTCTCTTCGTCCACTTCTGTGGAGTCCGCACCCGCCGAGCTGCGCGCGCACGGGGAAGGGGAAGGGGGAAGAGGGGGAGACGAGGAAGCGCAAACAGCACGGGAGGAAGGGGGGTATGGACGAGAGCGTGAGGACTTCTGCGGAGTCAGCACCCGCCGAGCTGCGCGCGAACGGAGAAGGGCGAGCGCAAACAGCACGGGCGGGGATCGTGCGAGGAGGGGGAGAAGAGCGGGCGGAAGGGGGGAAAGGGGAGGGAAGAGGGGGGGGGATTCACGAGAACGCGTGAGCTTTTGAAAGGTGTATCAAAGCGTTATAAGGGCGATGCAACGCGGTTTCTGAGCAATATAAATGCTGTGAAACAAACAATGGGAGCTCGGAAACGAATAAGGACATCGACCAGGAACATCAAGTTAGGGATTCACGAAACACACGGGACGGCATGACGCACGGGATGGGAAGAGGCAACGCTCCTGCTGAGAACCATTCTAAGGTGGCCGAAGGGGCGCAGGTAGATTCTTAAATCGACTCAATGCTCGGGCAAGGGACGACGCACGGGATGGGAAGAGGCAACGCACCTGCTGAGAACCATTCTAAGGTGGCCGAAGGGGCGCAGATAGACTCCTTCGAGCTTCATATGCACGTCTCCATCGCTAATGTACATGCCGTCCCGCAACACCACCTCTCCCTGCCACCCATTCGCGGGGATCATGGGAGCACCGGACCACCACGCGAACGTACATATCAGTGAGTGCCGCGTTTTAACAGTACCATCCTGACCTGCCAACCCGTCACGGCGCACGCCGCCAGCAGCAAGATGCGCAGGTCTCAGAGCAGAGAGCGCGCGGGGGGAAGGGGGCATGCACAATGGCAGTAACCATATCGTACTCAGCATCGACAGAGGCGAGGGTCGCGAAATGATCAGGATGCAGCGAGACGAGCCGACGGAGCTTTCGCTCTTCGATCAACAAGTGCCTTCGCATCCACTCTGAAGGCTAATGAAGAGCCGCCAGGCGCTTGACCCCCCCACCCCCTCTCACACACACGAAGGCCGGACCCTTAACAAGCTAAGACCAGCTCCTTTACCAATGAACCGCGAGGCGCTTTACACCCTCTTCTCCCCCCCTCCCACCCCCCGCCCCCTCACATACAAGAAGACCGGAACCCGAACGAGCTAAGACCAACTCCTTCACCAATGTACCGCCAGCCTGTCTACCAGAAGTAAATCCAGACCATACACTTGTCATCTAAATCCGCAGGATCAACCCGGGATGCGTAACAGATAGAAAGTTCTGGAGAACCTATGGAGGAAGCAGCAGGCGCTCACATGGACATAGTGAACCTTTTGAGTCGCCTCAAAGGTAATCTAAGGAGAAAGAAACAGGCGCTCACATGGACATAGTGAACCTCGGGACGGGCCGTGCTGCTGGTCTTTAATTGGAAAATAATATTTCCAGAGTTCTTCTGTAGCGGGAATCGCGAAGACGAGGAGTTCCGCGCGACCTCCCATGTGCCTGCGACACAGCACGGCACCCGCTATCCGCGTTACGAGACGCCGCGATAAGGAAACTAACCACCGTGATGCGACAGAATGGCAAGTGCGCCTGACGGAAGAAGCTTCCTGATTCACCTTTGTATGTTCCTGAGATATTCGAGGGGAATATCTTGAGATTCGACAAGTCGGTGGTCTCCACGATTTCCGACACGAGTGGTCGTAAACTCCACTGGTAGTGACGAGAGAGGGAGACGGGAGCGGAGATGGGAAGGGAGGCGACGGGGGAGAAGGCGGGGAAAACAGCGCGAAAAACGGCGATAGGGTGGAGAGTGAGATGCGGATAAGTTAGTCCTGAAGCTTCTGGTGAAAGGAGCATGAATGTTGACGGCTCTAACGGATAGGCTGTCAAACGCAGCTACTCAAATAGTCAATGGTTAGGTCAGGATACAATCTCAACATTTCAGAAAGGTTCCGACGCCATGACGGTTCCACGTCTCCGCTGTTTTAGGGTCCCGTGCAGTCCCAAATCAAAACCCTAAGCGGCACGAGCATGAATAATTCACAAATCATGATGTCTTAGTCGCACGTCGCGGCAAACACACCTCGTCTTCCCAAAGGGGGAGTTCGGAATCTAGTAGCTTCTCTCGGATTGGTCGAGACGCGAGCTGTCTACATGGATACGAAAGTAGCACTGCAAAACCTATCAACCAATGCCATCTAGGACGAGGTGCCCGCCTCGTCATAATGCCTAACCAGCAGATGGTCTAACAGGAAAGTCTTATTCTGCAGTCCATCCAACAGATTCGCACAAACCCTAACTTCCACTGAGACGGTACTACAGCGTATTATTGGACAAACGCTTCACGAAAAATGAATACAAACAAACGATTCCGAAGAAGATGACCCACGCGATGTGGTCGCCATCTAGGTCAGAACTGCGCTGAACTGGCGCGGAGAATAAAGACGAGTGCGGTCAGTCACGAGACGCGAGGAGCGGGATGACGAAAGCTGGGAGGAGAAAGCGGGATGCCGAAAACGGAAGGCAGAATCGAGGAAGGAAGGATGACAGTCACGATAGATCGGTGTTGACTCCTCCACAACAGCACACCACCGTACAATAACACGTTAAAACATACGAAAACACACTAAACCGTTGTAGTACCAATCGAGCACCACGCCTCAGCGTTCCAGACATGTCAAACAAGCCCCTCCGAGTTCGATCTGCTCTCGGCCCCACTGGTTTGCTGCGCTTGGTTCTCTGTCCGCCCTCCCCGCCTTTTCCGCCTTTCCGCCTTTTGACCTCTCCCTGCAGCGTCCGCGGATGAGCCAAAGCACAAGCCCTTGGGAGCCAGGGCAGCCCAGGGCTGACGGCGGCGGAGAACACGACAGGGCGAAATCGCGCGCATCGGCGGAAATCGTGTTTGTCTCAAAAGAATCGACCCAAATTGCTCCCCGCTCGCCACGTGGGCGTTTTTCTCAATTGATTCGACCCCCTTTCCCCCCGTCCCCCCACCCCGTTTTTCCCGCCCTTGCCCTCCGAAATTCGGGCACCCGCTGGAATTTTGCGAAATCACAAAAAGTCACGAATACGTGCTCCTTACGTAAAGCAAATCCACCATGTAGTTGTGGCATGCCACATCAGCTTTCGCAATCGAAAATCTCGGCGGTTGCTTCTCAATCTCAGGAGCCTCATATGCACGTTGATTGTATCGTATTCTTTTGGATTAGCCCATCCCAGTAATGTAGATAGGGACGCAAAAAAACACATAACAAATGAACCTATGGTTTTTTTAATGTTTTTTTATGTATCTACATGAAGATTTTTCCAGAAAACATAAAAAACTAAGACTTCAATTTCATAGATTTATAATAGTAATCACTCCAGGGTAAATCAAAAGAGATATCTTTTGAAATAGGTAGATATTTTGCTTGATTTTACTTCTTGATATTATTTAGAAAAAAATATATACTCGTATTACAAATATTCAAAAAAAATATGTTACTGCAGTGGCACATAATGAATAAAATCCATATTACTGCTAAATTTATCATTGAAATTTATAGGTGTTCTGTCCCAAAGGGGGCCATTCCCCCCTCCTTTACCTTCTGTCCAATCAGATGTCGCTCGCATGTTGAAATATAAGCGTTACGAAAAAGCACGTACTCGTGACTTTTTGTGATTTCACGAAATTCTAGCGGGTGCCCGAATTTCGGAGGGCAAGGGCGGGAAAAACGGGGTGGGGGGGCGGGGGGAAAGGGGGTCGAATCAATTGAGAAAAACGCCCACGTGGCGAGCGGGGAGCAATTTGGGTCGATTCTTTTGAGACAAACACGATTTCCGCCGAGACGCGCGATTTCGCCACACGACAGACTTGGCGATGGCGGGGCGGGGCTCAATTCAGTTACTGTAAGGCTGGGGAAAAAGTTGGTGGTGGCTCGGCGGAAGTGGCGGGGAGGTACAATAGGGGGAAACTGGGCTGGGCAGAGCGAAATTCTAGGCTGCGAGCGAGGCAAAGCAGTTGTGGCGGAGCGAGCGAGGTGTGGACCAGGGCTGTCGGTTTGCCCGTCGGACCGAAAGTTTGGGCGCAGATTATTTCCGCCGAAAGCGGAAGAGTTTTGATCATCTTGTCGGAGGCGGGGATTTGCAGGGAGGGGCAAACGGTGGCTCGCGCAACCTCTCGCTAGCTCGCGCCACGCCACAGAGACCCTGCGCTGGGCAAGGGCAGACTGATGATATCGAGGCGGCTGCCCACAGCGCGGAAGCCAAGGGGCTATGGTGGGGCGGCGGAGGGGCTAAGCCTGGATGCGGTTCGGGCGTGGAAACTTTGGCTCGCGGAGTGGTGAAACGATTTTGCTAGTGCGACGTCTACAAAGACGGTTGACCTTCGCCGCGGGGTTGTAAAAATGCAGTTTGCGACAAGCTGTTCGAACAATGCGACGGTGCGACTAGCATTTCCGTAATGGCGCGTGTACTAGTCAACTGTTACCCGACGGGCGACAACCTCGGTAGGTGGTGAACGATCCCTACGATGATTCATAGGCACCGCCTGTCTGTGCGTGCCATGGCACTTCTTTGCAGATTCGATATTACTAATACGCAGCAAAATTCACCGGTAATGGACCCTTGCAAAAGATCCTAAGGGCTAATTCTCAGCCCAACATGGTATGAGAGCTCACAAGGGGAACTCAACTACTATCAAGTCATCACAAGACATGGCAACACAAAAGGAAAGGAGCTCCTCTAACGGCTCCCAGGGCACTACTCCTACTCTGTCGGAGTGAAAGGCCCCGCCCTCGCTTGGGCGTAGGCATTCTCTGCGACGACGTGGTGAATTCGACGAAGTGATCGTCGCATTGGAGCAGCCCGTCCTCTGAAACCGCGGGTGGTTTTCGAGGAAGGTTGTCCTCTGATTCACCAGCCCGTCAACGAGCTCTGGTCGACGGGGTGCTGTTCGACGAGCTCGTCTTCTGATTTGCTTCTGGGTCGCGCGATCTCTGACGGACGGGGTGCTGTCCGAGGAGCTGCGTTCTCTGATCGAAGGGCGCTGTTCGGCGAGCGTCAGCTTGGCGAACTGGTCGACCAAATTCGCGCGACTGCGAAACTCTGCGAGGGCATGCGAAATTCGCTCAGGTGGCTCTTAGCGAAATTCGACCTCCGAAATGGCATCACGTGCTCGACAGTGGGCATCTGGAGAAACCGTCAGAGCGTTTTCTACCTGGCACCTGCGCAATGTCTCTGACGGTGTAACCGTCTACCTGCACCTACTCGGCAGGTGCACACCTGCGCAGATATTCACCTGCGAATGCAGCGCTGGCAGGCCGCCCTGCTGCAGCGCTGGCATGTCGCCCTTCTGCTACGCTGGCAGACCGCTCTGTTTCAGCGTTGGCGAACCGCTCTGATGCAGTGCTGGCAATTCGCCTTGCAGAATGGTTGCTAGGGGTTGCAATGCCATTCCAGAGATATCACTTTGCATGCTCATTCTTGTACTCTAATTCTCAATTTTCAATGTACTTTCAATTTCCTTAGTGGAAACTCTTGCCAAATCTCTCTGTGAACAGAGCAAGTAGTAAGATCTCTGTTAGAACGCTGCTAGAGCGCTACGATCACCCACACAACTCCGTGCCCTCCTTCGTAGTTCACACCCGTTGTAGGGTGACTCTCCGCATGGTGCGGTGAGCGTGGAACGGCCCCGCGTTAGAACCTTCAGAGTAGCCGACTTTAGTGCTCAATACCTAAGTTGTTGTAGGCCGGCAGTCTAAACCGCCATGGTCGACCAGGAGGAGGTCGCTGCAGTCGTAGAGGATACCCTGCAGGCGCGGTTAGATGACGTTCGGGCACGCCACGCAGCTGGCGAGTACGGCGGAGCAACCTTGGAGGTTATGCTCTTTGGAACCCGCGTGCAGTGGGCGCGCGAGCACCCAACGACCCGTACTGAGGCGGATGGTCTGCCCGCCACACCCCGACCGGCGCGCAACGAAGGGGGCGTCGACGACCAGGTCGACGGTGGTAACCAAGTCGGCAGCGAAGGCAGCACGAGGCTTCGTGGAGTGATTCGGGCCGCTGACTTTGGCGTCGGCGGAATGCAGGCACGAGTTCAGCGCTCGGCGGCAGCGGGAAGTTCGAACGGCAACATCGATGGTCGACGCCTTTCTCCTCAGCGGAGTGGAGCCAGGCCGACATCGGCGACTCATGCGTCTGCTGGTCGCGACGGAGGCATCGCGCCAGCGTACGGCTACTTCAAATTTTCGCCGGACAAGATCGCTGTGCCGCAGCCGCTCGAAGGACGACATGACTTGATCACATGGATTGAGTCAATCGAACCTCAGCTGGAGATCGCCGGATTGAAGAAGTTCGTTGACGGCAAGGTGGAGATGCCGGACGAAGACGACTCTGAAATGCTGGCGGAATTTCGCGCTGCTCACCTTCTGACCTTCATGGTCATTTCGAGGTGTTGTTCGCCGCTGGTGCAAGTCGCGCTGAAGCAGTGCCGACTTCAAGTGGACGCCGGCTACCAAGCTTGGCAGTACATCATGCGCACCTACAGAGCGACCGACGACCTCTACATCAGCCAACTGGAGAAGAAATTGGCCACAATTCGCATGGGTGAGCAGGAATCGGCGACCGAGTACTGCAATCGAGCGCGGCGAATTTTGGCCGACATGCGGATGGCTGGTTTCGAGTACTCGGTGGCGTCGTATGTCACGCATGTCATCAACGGCCTCCCCTCGAGCTACAATCTGATGCGACGGATGCTGATAATGCCCGGCACGCGCGAGACTCTGAACGAGGATTCGCTTTCGAGTCACATCATCCAGGACGAGTTTATGCAGGAGTCTGAGCGGTCTTCAGAGCTCCTTCCGCAGGCTAACTACGTCGCTCCGACGAAGCAGGGACGTCAGACGGGGCAGCGTGGGAAGTCGGGCGGAGGTGGAGGCGGTGGCGGAAAGTCGTCGAACACCAAGTCTACGGAGAGCGCCGACCGCGGAAAGTCGGCGAAGGGCAATGATCGCGGAAGCAGTGGTTCGCGTCGAGGAGGACGCCGCTGCTACATTTGTGGAGACCCTGACCACCTCTCCTACGACTGCCCTGATCGCGACGAGTCCGACGACAATCAGAGAGGGAGCCGCGGAAAGTCTGACAACGCCAGTCGTTCAGAGGACGGGAAGTCTGACAGCGACAGTCGTCGTCGAGACAACCAGCCGCGCAAGGAGAAGCCTGCGTCCTCGAAAACGGCGTCGAAATCAGAGGGTGATGCTTCGAGCGAAAAGAAAGCCTCTTGTTCGATGGTTGGCGTGGTCGAGCCAACAATTTCGCTGGCGCCGGAGGCTGGCGAAGACTTCCAGGCGGTCGCAGCAGCCGTCCAGGCGAATCCGACTGTGGTTCTCCTCGACAGCGGCTGCTCCCATCATCTGATGGGAACGCGGGAGGCCTTCGTCGAAATGAAGCCAAGAGGAGAAATCCGTCACGTGCGCGGATTCAACGGGGCGCTTCAGAACGTCGAAGGCCGTGGCACAGTTGCTCTGAAAGGGGAGACTGGGAAGCAGGTTCTCATCCCCGACGTGTTGTACGTTCCGGGCGTACACGCGAACCTACTGTCTTCTGGCCAGCTGGAGGAAAACGGCGTGAAGCTGAAGCACGAGGGTGACGAGATGCTGCTCGTTTCTGCTGCAGGAGATGTGCTCGGTCGAGCACGCTACACCGGCCGAGTTCTCTGCACCGACCTTCGCCCCTGCTCCTCGAAATCGACTACATCTGCGACAGAAGCAGTTGCTCTGCGGACGATCGCATCAGCGACGAAGTCAAAGCCGGCTAAGTGGCACGCGAGGCTTGCGCACGTCGGCATTGACACGATTTTGAGCTCGGCGAAACATGAAGTTGCCATCGGCCTTGACATCGAGAAGTCCA